TGAAAACACGGTACGGAGCGCGTCACGCGCTCAGTACCTAATTACTGCCTATCCTTGATAGGAACACGAGTTTCTTACTAAAATGTCCGCAAGGTAACATCACTGGAAGAGAACATAATAGTGCTGCGTGTTGGAGATTGCGAGGCCGCAGGTTATACACACACACACACACACACACAGTGTCCGCTTGCATCATCGCATCCACCGATCGGCGCCGATTTCCAAGTCAGCTTTATCAAGTACCATGCGACGCGATACGATGCGATGCGATACATTATCGATGACATCGAAAATATTTTGATTTCAGATATTCAAAGTGCCGCGTCATGCTTTATTTACGTGAAGCTTTCCGGTGATTTCTCGCGAGGATTGCGAGGTGCACTTAACGTGCGTGTCACGTCTAATATATACGCATGATTGCTCGTGCGTATGTATGTGCGTGTGTATGTGCATCTGATTCATTCGTTTCACGGACGAGCGCGAAGCTAGACAAATCATGCTTGGCTCTCCAGCCGCGGCCTGATGTAAGTAGAACGGCAATTCGTGGGCAATGCTAGTGAAACGGGTCTTTATCTTACAGCTGTTGCAAGTGAAACGATCCACCACGGGCTTGTGAGTCGCGATAAGAAGGAACAAAGGCCCCCCGCTCGGCGATGTTTACCGCTCGACGTGTTGCTACGTGATCTTTAATCGACGATTAAAGTCGAATGGCGCGGATTTTGCACGGAGGGCGTAGCAACCGCGCTGTTGCTTCCCGGAGAAAAATCACAGCATTGAGATTGTGTCTCCTCGGTGTAAAACGACGATTTTCCGGAAAAAGTATATGATCGAATATAAGCACATTCGAGGATATCAGGAGACGTGTAGTTGTTTGCTGTACCGGAAGAAGTCCTTTCCGGCTGTAAATTGGCGCAATTACACATAAATCGAGAAATGTGGATATACAAGATAATTCAGTCCAGGTAACGCCGCGTTACACCGTGGACTCGAGTGTAACACGTTCATATAATCAACGTACCTTGGAAACCTCGTCGAGGATATTACACCGTAATTGACCTTCTTGCAAAATTACCGCCGCTATCCTACTCGCCGCAACACGCAGTCCTGCTGGATCAGCCGCTTTTACTGCTCCGAAATTCTCCGGCCGGAGCGCGAAGGAATGTACACGTTGTTCGTATCGCTCATAAATCAGGCCGCGGGAACCGAAATAATTCACACGAGAGACACCGGGAAATAAAGAACGATGAAAACATAGCATTACGTGTGATCGATTCCGTCGTCGTGATAAGAAACTCGAATGACTCTGAGAAACAGCGGCAAAATGGTCCGGCATAACATCGACCGACCTTCATTTGAGACAAATTGTGCGACAGAAGGATACGATTTCGCGCGACGGAGGTAGCTGGCTATAAAAATGGAACGAGAGTGTTGGACGCGTCATGTGCGTGAGTAGCTTTGAAATTATCGTAAAATAGCCGCGACTATAGAACGGCTATAGAGCTATATCGGCTGTTTCTGTCGAAAGGCGTACAGCGAAATGTCGCATATATCGCAACAATGGTTGCGATGCGGCGGAAATTACGGAAAATCGATCCCGGCGATACGCGAGTTTGCGTCACGCGGCGTTCGCCGCCACTTCCTGGTATTATTATTAAATTATCGATTCGGTGTAAAGCAGTGCATTGATACCAATAGACACAACAGGTGACATTATTGCCCCGCAGCTGAATTATTTAACGGTCGTGTTACAAAGTTTCCTAAATATTCACGCTTGTTCGATGTGGCCGAGTCACCTATGCGAACTATGAATTATTCGGCGCTTCCCTTCGCTCGGCATCTCGCACCTTCGCGCACAGACTAGACCCGAGCTCTGATTTCGGCTAAAGACGTTATTTTTGGCCGGGTGAAATTATTATTAATTAAAACCACTGTCTTCCGCTCTCATCGTAATCGATAAGCAGCGCGCTTTGGATCTCTCGCCGGAAGAAAGAAACTCGTAACGAAGAAAATTTGATAATATTGAACGTGTCGTGTGCATTGTATATCGCTAGGGTTCACATAACAAAGTTCAAAGAAGCAGAATAACGTTCATTGCTTGCGAAGAAAACGATTCGAGGGGATTCCGATCGTAAGGAGCAATCATCGACAACTATAAAGAGCGATTCGAGAAGCGTTTCAAGAAGCACCGCCATTATTAAACGCGTAGTCGTTCAAATATTGCCACTTGGATTTCGCGCGGGATCAACCCATCGGAAACATCCGTTTCGTGTCACGTGCCGCCCGGCGGCGCAGGGGATTGCATTATCTCGAGTATTCCGTCCATGTTGCGTTCTGATAACCGCGTGAGCGGTCACAAAGTGCGTCCTCGTGGTGTATGAGAGAGAAATCGCGACGCGTTACGCGCAGCGTTCCGCGATGTCGCAGCATCCCGCCATGTGCGGGACACGCATTTCTTTCACGCAACCAGCACGCGAGTAACTGCACTTTCACTCTGTGGTCAATGTCATGTCGGAAACCAGTTTACACTTCGTCGATTTGTCGCATGTCCCGTCTACCCGTTCTTCGAAAGCCGGTTTTCGAAACTCGTGGAAAATAACTCGAGGGGATACGAAACTGCCAATATTTATGAATATTTTTTCGGCCGGTCAGTCACACACAGCTTGCTCGTGAAAATCGTCCGCGGTTGAACCAACCGCATTTTTGCTCCCCTCTTTCGCTTGGCTCGACTCGGCTCGGCTCGGAAGAAGAAAGAGAGAGAGAGAGAGAAGGGAAATGTAAATACGCACAGCTAATTTGCTTATAAAATCGATTAGATCGTTGCGCCGAGATAAATCTGCCGCGATCAGAAAGGACGAGGGGGGATCTGAAGGAGGAGCTCAGAATTGAGAAAGAATGAATGAATGTGCCGATAGTCAACCACCGGGTCAATCGCAGTCATGTAATCTTTTCTCTTTTTTTATCATGCACGCATCGTCAATAAAAGCGTAAAACCGTGAGATCTATATTGGAAGGAAGATTTATGGCTACTCCCAATTAGCAGTAAGCTAATTCGCGATATCGCGACATGAGCCACGTATACTCGCACTTTTAATCGCAATTATTCAGCAGCGAGTGGTTATACTTGATCATCCAACATCATACGGCGAACAATACGCCGCTGTTACGTGCGTCATGTACGCATTGCGTTCTTTGCGATAATTAGCAACAGCAAATGTCGTTTATCGAAATGTGATCTTCATTACGGCGATTACATGGCGAGAAACCAAGCGAAGGTCGCCCCTTCCTCCTTTTACCTTTTTCCCTTCGAGCAACCGAATGAGCGATTCACTGCGAAACGTCGCGTTAAAGAGCGAATTGCAAGCATTACTGATGTGGAAATTTTGGCTCCGTGTTCCCTCGCGAGATTAATTATTACCATATTTGGGGGAATACGAAACTCGGTAATTTCCTTTAGTTTACATGGAACCAAGATTACATAAGACTAGTTTCGCATTTACCGTGCTCAATTAAAACACTTTATCATGCTCGGTGCAAATAATGCAAGAGGTTAAAAGAAAATGCTGCTCAAGGGCACAATGTTTTTATACCTTATGATTTATAACGCAATCTGATTGCAGACTGTTTTTTCAGACGTTTTTTTTTTTTTACACAAGAAATTGTTAAAGCGTCAATCAGTGTTACAACGTACCATCTTGATAAAAAAGTTTCAAGAACGACCACTGTGTGTGGTGCTCTCAGTCACCCGATTTGAGTTCTTATTTTTTGGTTAGGTTGCCACATCTGTCATTGACATTCCCACCAAATTTCCGCGTCATAGCTTGACATTTGTAAAAGTTACGCCGTCTTGAGTACATCTGCCTCTGTGCGTGTTTTCGATTTTTTACGATTTTAAAAATGAAATCGACTCGCACAATGCCATCGTTATCACCAATTTTTTGACCAAGAACGGAACGAATACCATCCAACAGCCACCGAATTCGCCTGATTTGGCTCCCTGCGACTTCTTTCTGTTCGGTCGACTCAAAAAACCGCTCCGGGGAACGCGTCAAGAGCAACCAAGAGGAGATAATGGAAAAATCGAAGACGGCTCTGGTGGCCATACCGAAAACCGAGTATCAAAAATGTTTCGAGGATTGGATCAAGCGCTGGCATAAGTGCGTTACAGTCGATGGAGAGTACTTTGAAGGGGACAATATCGATTTTGATGAATAAACTTGTATTTTTAATTTTCTGAATAAATTCCTGAAACTTTTTGATCAAGGTGGTATATACGTTATGCATAATGAACGTTTCATCGACTGTGAATATCAATATGACGCGCATGCGTCTGGCCAGTGGTTCTCTTTTATTTAGCGCGCGCATAAGTGCCGAGAGTGTGTTTAAATCTTACAATTCCGACTTATTCTGAAAACTCGCACGATCACGGAGAACCTGAAGTTACGCCCAGCATGCTGGTATTACGAAACATTCAACTAAAATCCGTGCACGAACGAGTGATATCTACCGAACGCTGACTTAGAATGCGACTTAGAAGCGCTTCGCATATGTGCATAGAATAATATCGGCTGGGATCAGAATGTCAGCTGTCGTATGTTTAATTAATTATATCCGGAGCGATGCCGGAGGGACGAATAATCGTCTCGGTTCTTTGAACATCGACGTACTACGAAAAACGTCGCGATTACGCGCGTAAAAAATGCCGTGTTTATTAAAAAAAAAAAATAGAAAAAAGAGAGAAAAGTGACGTAACTTTTGCGAGGTAAATTATTAGCGCTTCCGGATCTCGCGGAAAATAATGTAACGAGGTATCACGTGAAGCTCAATCTATCGCACAAACGATCGCATAAACGATGCGAGCGCGCATCCGCGTTTGCGCGATCGATACGCACCCGTGGATTAGTGTCAACATGAAAATATGACATAATATGTACGTGACAATGATCGGAAATACGAGCGGATTCGCTGTCTTGAAGAATATCAAGTAGAACGTGTGCACTTACTGTTCCTCCGGCCCTCCTGCACTTTGTATGTGAGGTCGCTGAACGCCAAGTCGACCGGCGGCCTCTTTGGCAGGTGCGTGATCGTCTTGGGCTGCGCCGGGACGATCTGCAGGCGCACCGTCGAGCTTTTCCTAGGTTGCAATAAAATCCCATTGACGTCGTCATCGTCGGTCGAGCAATTTCCCTCGAGCTTCATTTTCTCGAGCTTCTCTCGGCGGGATCACGCTTTCGTCCGAATTGCTCTATCCCGCTCGGTCTCTCGGATCTCGTTTCGTTGCACGTCGATCGGGGATCGGTTAATGCGCGAGACTAACACGCGGGAACGATATTTTTCACCCTGCCTGCAATGTCATTTTCGCTCACTTAATGCAATGCACTCAGTTTTCCGCGCCGGCAGTTGTGGCGGCCGGCGCGGGCGCGGCCTTTGTTTCTCTGAGATACGTTTGACTTCGTTCGAGACGGAAAGACCAGGTGTTTCCTCACGAGAAGATTATTTTCAGAGCAAGTTTCATTTAATCTCAGATAACTCATCGATCGTCGATCGAACGAATGGATGTCCCACGACTAAGCTCTCGGGTCTTTGAACATTTAGCTCGCCTCACAGGCGATTTCCTTATTTTCATTCGAGCCAAGTATAGTCGATGGAAGTATAAACAGACGCGCGCGAAATCGTAAGTAAAAAGCGGAATATCGAGATTGTTGCATTTGCACATGTGCAAATGTTATCTGGTTGTTTATCAGCCGTAAAGACGAACGCGGCATCAACGACTTTTGCACCGCATGATAAAATCGTGCAAGGTGCAAAATAATAGGTTCGAGTGACAAAAAGAGGAAGGGGAATCTGCGTTCGTTCGATCGATACGTAGATTATCAGATAATAATTACACAAAATTGCTACCACGTTAGACATGATCGTATATGCATGTCAACGTATGCGACAGAACATCGAGAGCGCCGTGGAAAGATTGCAAATAGCAAAACTCCACGCACGAGGCAGATACAGCGTCAAGAAAAAGAAGCAACACGTACGCAGATCGACTTGCAAAATCACGACTTTGCTTCAGACAAAGCTTTGGACAAAGTAACGCGACCGCGGCCTCTTATCGCCTTATTATTATTGCGTGTGTTGATACATCCGTTCGGTTGTACTTTAACCGCATTCGAACGAGGCACACGGGGCTTCCACGTGGATACCTTTACCTTCGTGTTGACGTTTGATCCGTCATGAAGCTTTTATTAATCAGACTGCCAGCTCGCATTCCTAATTTGTCTCTGTGCACGATGCAACTCGATGTTCTCACATACGCGAGGTGTCTCGAGACGACTTGTTCTCTCGGATACCTTTCTTCGCTAAGTGAAAGAGCCAAGCAGAAACCGGAGAGAAGCGCAGTTCCGGTCGACTGATTTTCACATTGTCCGCGGTGCGTTCACACCGCAAACTCTTCTTACGCGTCGGTACTCCCGTTTTCGCCGGCGAGGGGGACTCGTCCGCGCACGACGAAGTTAACTCGGCGGTGCGACGGAGCGCATGTCGACAACTCGTGCGTACGAAAGAGGAAAAGAAAATATTGCGCGAGAAAGAGAGAATATAACGATGGCGATGACTATTCGCGACGTAAATCCGTACGACTGCGCGTGTCGCGGCACACTCCCAAGTGCGGACGTATTCGTGCGTTCTTGATAACAAAGCCTGCGACGAGGCAGGCTTAGGCGACAGGCAGGCAGGCAGGACAGGCGAATAGGTGGGGAAAAGGCAGTTTAACGACACCCCTCTCTCTTTCCGCAATGCACTCCGTTCGACAGCTCGAAAGCAACTGAGTTAAAGACCGCGACTGCACCGCGGCCATCGCCATTGACCGTCGCGTCCCTTTTTCGTCTCCCTCCCGTTCGTACGCACTCCTTTCCCTTTCCTTTGCACCGCCGCGCGACGGAAAGAGACGATGGATGAGTACTGAGGTGCCGATGGATCAAGGTCCTCGTGGTAATACACGCTGATGATGAGAGTCGGCGATAATTTCAACGAGGAATCGCCGAGTGCCGACAATTGTCTCCTTTATTCCCGAGTGTGTGTGTGTGTGTGCCCGTACCACGTGTGAATATCAGAACAAATTCCTGCGGAACTAATCGCTAAATGCTGGAAAACCCGAGGCGCATCTGTGTCGCGAACAAGACCCTCGCACATTTTCTCGTTCACGCGATCATGATATTGTGCAACTGTTGTTGGAATATGACCATTTGACTTTATACTCGTCGACGCCGCGCCGGTGAGACGCGGGCAGCGCCAAGTGCACCTGCGTCGTCGCTGCTTATTCCGTGAATCCGTTCCGAGCGTCCAAGAGGACTAATCGTTGGAGAAATCATTGGGCATAATGACTCGCGCGGCTGAAATACGCGCGCTATAAAAAGGAGAGTGCAGCCGAGGTCCTGACACTTTTTTTTTTTTCTTTTTGAGACTCGAGCAAAGTTCGTTCGAACTTAATAATCGCGCCGAGAGCGACCTTGTTAACGGGCTAAATAACGCATGCCCGCCGCGATAGAAAATTGCGACTCATCGGAATTGACGATTCTCCTTTGCGCGACTTTGATGAGTCATCATCGACGAACACATTTCGCGCCGGCTCAGCTGGCTCAGCGAGCGTGCGAATTGCTTCGTGCTCGCGAAACGCGATTAGACAGCGCCATGGGAAAACTATGATATCGTGGCCGCGTTATTTTCGAGAGAGCCGCCCATACGCCATGTACGACACGTTGCTTTCTACGTCATACGCTCATTCGTAATGCAGAGGAGATATGACGTCGGCCGTCATGGCGCCGTTAAAGGATCGTTCTTGACCACATTGACGTAAGTACGTCAATGATTTGATGGCAGCCCAAAGAGAGACACGACGGTGGATTATTAACAATCCCGGCGATCACCCACCGCCGACGTGTTCAATGATCGTAGAGTTAAGACGATTTGAAACACACTGGTTCGCCGATTAGTGCCGCTTGCTACGTACTTAAATGACCGCGCATTTGGTGCCGAATGCGCAACCGATTCCGCTATGAGAAATTGTTCACCGCTGATCGAGAGCGGTCGTTATAATAACGTCACAAATTTCCCGAGAAAGGATGCGGCATTGATTGTCTGGGTAACTGTATCTAGTTGTATTCTAGTATATAATTATAATTATATTTATTGTAATTATATTTACCCCCTCCCCTGCTTCTATCGATAACGTCGTCAATGACGTAATTCTAATACGCGGATATACACGAAATTGTAAAACGTTTTGCATGAAATTCTTGTGATACTTTTCCAAACTACTTTTTACTGAAAATAATAAAATTGAGTTGTACTGTTATCTGCGAAATTATTCTCGTTTTGACGTCAGTCGGAGAATTTACATAATCTTTATGAATACTCGGTGACGGCTCAGAGATAAATGTTTAAGTATCTATAAATAAAAATTTCCCGAGACAGCGCAATTTAGTTTCACGTCACAGGCGTGATTGTATTCATTAGATATAACTTAGATTTTTTCGCGCGTTGTTCAGAAATATCATACGTTGTTTATCACAGACTAGTTACTAAAAAACGAAGCCACGGAGCGTATTTTCGATCACGTTCCGTCACATTTCGTACTTTTGTCCGCGCAGAATTTTGAAATAAAAGGGAATTTCTTCAGAAAAATATTATATTGAGAGACCAATAGTCTCCGGCAATCGAAAAAATGTTAAAATTAATTTTGCTCGACGCAGATAGGAAAAAAGAAAGAAAAATACGAAGAGTATCCCGGCGGAATGTTTTTAGCGCTGCGTGTATAAAGGAATAAAGATCGCTCGATGCGAGTAAATGTAATAACTAACTTGACACAAATAAAATAAATGCATAAAAAATATAATAACAACTTGTAAGTTGTTAAAAAATTGTTAAAAAAAGACGGTTTTCTAAAGTCATTGTGCCAATTACATTAAAATCGATTATTAGAAGTTATTAAATGTTGCGCAACGCGCGATATCGATCATATTTCCAATTTTAACAATTTAATTTGCATCTAATTTTGGAGAACACGTCTTTGTCTCTTTCTCTCTCTTTCGTCGAAAAATAGAGCGTTGGAATGACGCGATGGTGATACTGATAATCGAACTCTGAGAGCGTAGCACATGCGAGATACGCGCTCTTTCTTCTGCAAAATCTTTAATATCACTTTTGTCCTTCGAACAAATAGATAAAACGGCTCGATAAAATACATCGTATCCGCCATTCACTCATAATGCATCGTTTAATGTGAAAATGGTCACCAGTTGTATTTCATTCTCACGGATATGTGTGCGCTGGAAAATGAGAATCGAAATTTGTATTAAACTATCAGCGAAACGATATATCGCTTATAGGCATAATTCGACCGTGTCTATGCTGTTCTTACATTTACGTAACCCGCGGTAATCTGTTATGTAACAAGAATGATGAGGTCATGGCCCTCCCGCCACTCCTGCCACCTGAGGCAGCAAAAGATGTAAGCATTTTTCTGTCTCGATTTGCTCGAAGGTAAAACATCTCCGTTTCGGTTTTCGCCGCGGTTAAAAGCAAAATGACGCGAAATTACAGATTTCCACGTGGATCGTTTTTGATTTTTGATCCCCAATTCCCGGTAAATTCGATATAATGTCGCGACAGCGAAGATTTCAAGCACGTTACCGCGAACGTGACTGCTTTGCTGAACGTAGTTTTTTCCTTGTTGGACATCGTGACAATAATGCGCATAGAAAAACGGAGAGTCACTGAAGTGAAGAACAGGTGTTCACGAGGAACATTAAATTAATAGCTGAAGCGTGTAGACTGAGTATAATTCTCATTGCGTTTCCACAAAAGCAGCAGCGTGGAACGTAGGTTTGATTGCGTAACAATTTTGAAAAGTATACGTAGACTCTGACGAAATCGTTGTTGCGTTGTTTTCAATTAATTTTCATCATGATTACATGCGTTTATACGGGGCACCGTTAGAACTTTATTAGCGGAGAGATTTCGGTTATTCTTGTTACTTGCGAGCAAACTTATCTTAAGTACTGTCAAAGTAAGATGCTTCTTTTTCCGCATTTGACGTGGGAAAAGGGAAATGGGAAAAGAAAGAAATTATTAATCTGTCATTAGAGTCGTGGCTCTATCTGTTGCTTTAACAAAAAAGTAGTTGTAGCAGTGCATGCATGTGAATCGTCACTAACACTACGGCGACACTCATTGGAAAGATCATAAATCTTTCATTACGCGCGTCATTATGAACATAAGCTTTAAATATTTTTTTGCTCAATCGGATTTTAATATTTCACATCTCAATTGCTGAATATTTATGAATATCGCTTATCGATCGTTAAATAACTTAATATCGCCACATTCGATACTCAGAGACGCGAACACATCGCCGTTGCACTGCACGATCGAGCATGCCGGCATGCTTATCATTTAATTACATTTAATTGAGAGCTTCGTTCCACAGAGAATATTTCAAACGACGTGGACAGTGATGTAAAAAAAAATCCATTGCTATATCTCACCGACATAGTGGGCATTATCGCTGGCCTTACATATTATTAAAGCTGGTTCAGCATACGATAAGAGATTTATGTGCTAGCGCGAAGAAACGAACGATTTGTCGTGTACGATTAATTGAATAAGTGAGCAAGTATCTAACCAATCCGCTGGGAGATTGTCCGAAAGGGACCGGCAATCATATAATTATGCCGTTATTTTCCTACCGATTCATCAGAACGTTTCGTGGCAAGTTTTTGTTCTCGCGCGGAGATTTATGCATCGCGGGAGATCTTGTTGACGAATTATGTAAATGGCAATAATTACAACGAATTGGCGGCTGATGGAGGGGAAGGGGTGCAGGAAAGAGGATGCGAGTGCGAACTGAAATTTCGTGAACTTGTGACGTATCCGTGCGTATCCGTGAGATATTCTACGCCGATGATATCGGACGTAGAACGATCGAAATGTATTACACGCTTACACAATAAGAGAAGCGCAAAGTCCACGCGAACAAATCAGCAATGATAACGTACGACATTGGCGACGAGGAAACATCGCGTAGAAATTTCGCTCGTGTATTTGCTCGGCCGTAAACCGGCATGTCCTTTATTCGCCTTTGGTATCAGTAGCCTCGACATAATTAAAGTTGGCGATAGTTGCCTTTAATTGCATACACACGTTCGATAATGAGCGCGATACGTGCAATGTCTAACCGAGACATTCGTAGCGTCGAATAACGAGATACACTGGCGGACCTTACGTTTTGGACGAGTTGAATTGAGATGGATCGCTCATACCGGAAAGATAACGAAATGATAGTCAGTCCTGCAACGTCAAGGAAAGACTGGCCGCTGCTCGGACATTTGACTCGCGATAATCTTCATTTTTTCGCGTTTATTTTTTGTCCACTGCGCAAATTGATTTTTGCGAAATTATAAGTATAGCGAAGCCGTCTCCGGTTGGATCTGCCACAGAATGAAAAGTAATGGAAGTAGTCGATCGTGACAACGTAATCATCGGAAACTGTGAAAACTTCAGACTACGATGAGATAAATACATATCTCGCGTCGGATCTGTTCGTCGATCGTGTTGATTCCTTGATCCATTGATAATAATATGTAAATCCAGGTGCAACAAGTTGCTTATTATCTCGCGTGCGGATGAACGACAAAAAAAGAACTGATGTCTAGCAATTCGATAGAGACGATTCTCGATTATTTCGATATTATAGCGTCCCGTTAAAAAAGTTTCATATTCCTATCAACATTGACCTCGGCTCGAACCGGTTTCGCATAGTGAATATTGAAAAGAAAAAGAGTATCCTGGTGAACGACAGGTGGAAAGTTCTGACCATTTTCAACCGACTGGTTTCGGCATTCAGATATACCACGTGTCCATCGCGCCGCGACAGGAGGTACGAAAAAACGTGTTATTTATTTTAAATAAAGGATGCTCTACCGAAAAGGTCACAACTTCGCGATTATATAAGCTATTATTTCACGTATCTGACTGAATCCCCCGTAAAAGCCACACGAAGATAAAAACGAAAGCAAACACACGTCGGCTCTTTCGAGCTTACGAGGAGAACCTAATTATTATTGTAATCTTAATAACTGGAAAACAGATTGTACTTAAAAGACACAATTATAATAAAAAAAAAAAAATATATATATATATATATTATAATGATGTTTGATTTTGTGAGGCAAATAATTATTTCATGAAAATAATATTTCCGACTTTGCTTCCTCGTGTGAAAATCTATTTACACTGTGCGTAGTCAATCGTTGTCGCTCTTAATCATCAATTAAATAAAACTTGTGACATCACTTGGAATTTACTCGAAAATCGTACACTGAATATCAATGCAGTGTAGGCTATCAGATTATACGGAAGTATCGAGTAAAGTGCAAAGTCCTCCGTCGCGTAGTGTTAGTTACGTCTAGCTAATTCTCCATTTATTATATTCAATTGTCGATACATACACCTTCTTTACATAAGATTGCAGTACATGTATTTGTCTGTCGCGCAGTGTAATTTTTTTTCATACAGATATTTCTTCGATTGCGAAGCATTTTATAACGAGCAGTCTCGGGAGAATGAATGCAAGGTCTGAAGGTAGAAAATAAATTTCAGAGAAACCCCGCCAGCAGAGTTGGCATAATATTTATAGAAATATCATACACGCACACATCTACAACTGTTTGTCGGTTTTGCGAAACGGCCTTGCTCGCCACAAAAGTTGAACGATTGTTACAAAATATATATAATGGATTAAATGGTTGAGATGACAAAAAAGCTAGTTTGATCGTTCATTGTCTAATTATCATTCAATGTTGTGTAGTACTCTCGGCATAATTTCCGAGAACGTATAATCAGTAACGAGCGGAGAAGAATATTACAGTACGCAAAGTACAAATTCCAAAACAACATTATTTTACGTAGGTAGCGATAAGCAGCCGGATGATTTATCAGTAATTATCGGTCATCTATCTATCTTATCGTGGAAGAAGAAATCATGGCTTTTTGATTAAGGTTATTAGCTCACGTGGGTCATGAAAGTACACCTCCACAGATGTAAAATGTACAAATTATCCAAAGGCGAATTAAAAATAGATTTTTAATAAGTGGGAAGGGGAACCTTTATACGTGACAAAATGTTGCGACTAAAACACACGGTGGAATTGACTAATTAATGTATCGCAACTGTATGTACAACATAACAAAGTTTTTAAACTCACAACGTCATAATAGACAAATTCTACCATGACGTATTTCATTTAATTTAATATTCAAAACTTATCCAGCATAATTCCTTTGATTTATTCAACATATGTGTTTAACGCAGATATGCATTTGGCATATTGCGAGAACGTGTGGATCTCGTGAATAATTTGCATCTAATCGCATCTTAAACTCGCTTGGTGATGTTGATATCGTCTTATGGTTTCGAGGTGTAGCTAAAAAATTCGAAAAGTATAGAATAGTCAGATATAAAGTGTTAGATCTTTATTATTTTCATTTTGCAAATATCTCGTAATCTTTTCCGGCCGACTTAATTAATTGAACATTTAATTTTTTTGGAATCAGACGTTACGTTGAAACAAATTATCGTTTATTGCCATTTTTGCTAAAGGAAATTTTCGATAATTGTACGAATGGTCGCTGATTATGTTTTTACAATGTAAACGATCGTCGTTGCGATTTCATTTCGCGTTTTATAACGAGTTCCATGATTGAAGTTGCCGCTCATCAGAAAAAGAAAAAAATTACCGATTTATCGATTCAGATATATTCGGAAGAATAAAATCATGTTATCGTTTGACAATTGTTGAAATATATTTCCACATACACGAATAAGCCGGCGACCATGCGGCTCGAGTATCGGGCGTCAGAAGCGCAAAGATGCTATTCAGCGAAAGGAGAACATGATCGCGCATATGGCCGAATAGGAATGCTTCGATAACACTGATGCAACTACCAATCGTGACGATAATGATGGACGATGTTTTTATGCAGTTCTAAATATAGAGGATCTTAGAGACGAGTGCATTGCGTCGTTTTCGCCAGTCACAAAACTGAGCTTTACAGGCGATGATCTTCGCTCGAAAGAGCGCCCTGCTCTAAAATCCGTCCCGTTATCTTATACGTCGATATTCGTGTTTCGGTTGCGCGTTGTTGGTGTGAAGCTCGAGGGATCGCTTGATTTCATTTTTTGTAATTTACGAACTACGCGCGCGTAATACACCGTGCACGAAGTCGCCACGGGGAACGCGACAAAGGTATGCAATTTTATCGGGAACTCACCCGTTAACTCCATTACTGATCAATCGATTCTGCACGCTGTTTTTTCCGTTTTCCACCATGACTGCGGTTACGTCAGTCCGCAAACGGTCGACTTATGACAATATGCGCAGCTGAAATTGGGGGAAAAAATTGTTAAGGAAATAATTACATCGGTATCTTATGCAAATAAATATTATAATTTGATTGACGTAAATATATCTCCGCATTATATATCGTTTCACTGAAATGAAATATGCGAGAACTGACAAACAGAGAGGAAAAAAACATATCACAAGGAAATTAGCTATAATTCCAGATAATTGCATGCGCAAGCAAGAATTGCGCAAATGCATCAGGAATTCAGAGCGTACAATTTATATCTATTTCATGTAATATTAATTTTTGAAAACATATCAGTAGAAAAATCTCTCTCTCTCTCTCTCTCTCTCTCTCTCTCTCTCTCTCTCTCTCTCTTCATATATACATATTAAATTATGAATTTTACGTTATAGCATATTTATCAATTGGTTTATTTTTTGAGTCTCTTCTTTTCTATTCTATCTTATTCCATAATTACAGCAGTCATTAGACCAAGATTGATGATGTAACTAACAGATTAAATTCACGTTCAATACCGTCAATACTGTTTTACAATAAATTCATAATGACGTCGTAATGATCAGTGATTACAATTACGCGTGATTTGCCTTTTTCTTATGATACGTTTTTACAATGTAGTATCGCGCATCTGGAGAAGCGTAGCGCGGTCGCTTACGCTCGACATTATTCATCACGTGGCAGCGCCCAATATGCGCAAAAAATACGCACACATTTTAGATTGTCAAATTCAGTAAAGACAAATATTATCGTTTCTCGACGATTTTAGCAACGTTTTATCTAAGTAATCGGGTAACCATCAACCTTTCATCGAAAGCGAGAGACGCTATTGCGCTTATATTACCAGTCGTTACATAACGCGCGCATCTTCGGTTCTTGAACTTTGTGACGTTCGTTGCTTCGTTGAGTCTCGGAAAAAGTGAATTTCCCCTTCAACATGTTCATATTGTTTATGCATATTACATCATTGAGAATTGACGTCTCAACGTTGAGCATTAATATTAAAAAAATTCAAGATCTTTAAAAGAATCTTGTTTGTATTGTATTTCTCTTTTTGTTACTAATCTCCTTGTTATTGAAATCCTTATGATCTTGCAATCTTGCCAAGGTATATAACTAGATTTATTCATTAGAGATCTGAAAAAGCGCCGACGAGAGGACAGAGGAGGGAGGAGCAGGCGAAAGAGCAAAATTTAATTTCAGCTGCGAGCGAAATGTTTAAATAATCTGTTTCTATCCGGGGATTTTTTTCGATTCGAGTGATTCAGCATTTCTACGTAAGTTTCTACATAGCGGACGCGACACTGCCACTCTGCAAAAGTCTACGTGATAATGCCGATGATAAACGATCCCGAATGGACAAATAACATGATGTAAATGCAACAATTTAAATTAGAAATAATAATCCGGGTCATACTCTCACGGCACATGCACTGCGCACTATCCTGGCCTTCTACGTATTTACAGCTGCTATTACAACTGATGCAAGATGTAGACCGAAACACACCAAACCGGTCAGACGCGTCGATACAGATCGCCGAAGATGCACTTTCATTACGGTTCTCGCATACGTTTATCGCTGTATAAAGTTACATCGCTATCAACCGATTAACGGAACACAAAGAGACCGTACGAAATATTGAGTAATACCGGATGTGTTTGCACGTGAAACATCTGAAGCGGCTGTCTGAGAGACTTGAGTCAACAATAAATATTGATTAAGTATGTAAAAATGTTTAATTAAATATTAGTTACATGTATACTTTTTTTACATGTAAAGAATACACATATTTATATAATAAATCTCTACGAATCGTAATCGGTGACGCATGCTCGCTACCAACCGAATACATCAGAGGTTACGACCAAGTGTATCTCTCTAGCGTGTGAAATAACATCACATTAATAATACGCATTAATAATACGCGTTTGATACCTTCTCGCCGTCTCGCTCCTCCGTCTGTTTCTAGCTCTCTACACCTTTTCACACAGGCGCTTTATCGTACACGACGAAAAGTGCTTGGTTGAATGAACGAGTTTTCTGGCGAACGTATGAACGACTCCGAAGTTCCGACTGAAAGTGCCAGAATTCTGTTCGACTTATCCAGAAGTCTCGATAATTCAGATTGAATCTTAACGAGAAAAAACAACCGGGATTTCAGCAGAAAAGTTGTTCATTCGAGCAAATATTTCTCCCGGTGTACACGTGCACCTGGCTTTGCAGGGAGCATTTAATAAGCGGCAAACATTTGATATTTACCCAAGTGAGACGTGAGAGACTGGTGCTGTGTCCGCGCGAGTCCACGGGCTAGCGGCGTGGAATTTTGTCGGAAGCGTGTCGTCGCGGAGGACGGAAATCTGCGACGCGCCGGCAGTCACGCGCGTGCCGTTTCGCGACACGACGTTAAACTAAACAAGCCGATCGATCCTTCGTGGCGACGTGCCTTTCGATCGCCGATGAATTCCGGCATCCCCGTCCGGAGATACCCGGGCAGCGGATTGGCCGTCGATAAGACCTCGGCATCGCAAACTTTGACACCCGTGTGCGCCGTTCTTTCTCGGCCAGCCGCCCCACCAGTCGCGAAAGGCGAACGCCGTCGTCGTTCTTCGTGTTCTTCGTTCCACACGCCACGCACACTGCCGTTCGCCTGTCAAGCCGACCGTGTGCGTCACCGCCGCGTATTACGCATGATCGCTGCTTGACAGCGCTCGCGAATCAGCTGACCAGCCGCACGAGATTGCGACGGGATCGCGAAGGATGACGTGTGTGCACACGTGGTGATAGATGGAGGAAAGTGTGTGAACGCGCAGCTGAGGTCGAAGTCGGTAATTATGTTATCAGCTGCCGTCGTACCGATGACAAGTACGCACTCGATCGTTCGTGTACTTGCGATGAGATTTATCGCAGCAGTTTCTGCATTATTATCATTGATGGATAGCGAATTAGCTCAATTAGCGTTTAGCTCAAGTTGGCGGAGCCTCTTGTCATCTCAATCAGCTGTGAATGAAAGAAAAGGCTGGAGTTATCGATGGTACCTTGGACGGAGGAGAAGTTCATCTCATCCGGCTTGTATCCTTTATCAGTAATCGATGCGGTACTTACTGCTGGTGAAGAACTGACGAGCGTTGCGGGGTACCAGCTGTAGACACAAGCTGTTGGAGGCTGGACGCGATCTCCGCTGCAAATAATTTATTCCGAAATAATTCCGACCGTGCAAATGCACCTTTAGAATCTCACGAGCAGACCTTTCGTAACGTTCGCGTGAATAACGATGTGTTGTTGTCGCACGTATAAAAGCACAGATCGCGTGGGAATCCATCGATGTATTGTGCGACAGAACTCGTGCGAGAGGAGACTCTTCCGCACACTCTACAAGCGTACTCAGACTGGCTAAATTTAATCGCGAATATTTCGGAGGTCACCGATGCGATGCCTCGGTGCGTGACGAATCTCAATTGTTTTGCGATTCTACTTTACAGAATTGTTAAGAAGCACGATTCATTGAACATACCCACCACCACAGATATGTATATATATATATATATATATATGTCGCGCAAATATCTCTGTTTAATAAATACAGTTAATGCGAAATCTTTATTCACACGCTATGATGTAAAATCAGAATAATGGTTACACACATGGATACCGTTAGCGGCGAGGACACAAGTAACACGTGTTTCATATATTATCGCAAATGTGCAAAACAAGGACGCGGTTGTCACACGCGAAGAGCAACGGCGATTCCTCTCCTCCTCCTCCCGTCTTCTTCTCGGCGACTCCAGTCGCCAGGATATAACGCGCACGAGGACTCGAAATCGACGTGGTTCTCCCAATGGAATTTTAGCGATTATGTGTGTCCAAACCGCCTCATCTCCCCGCGCTAACGGAGTCTCCTGGCCTCTCGCTCGGACTCCAACAACGTCAGGATGTCGCCTTCGCGCACGGGACCTTTGACATTCCTGATAAGCTGTCTGTTTTGCTCGTTTAAGAACTCCACTTTGACCTGCGTGCACTGTCCCTGGGAACCCGTCCTGCCGAGGACCTTCACCACCCTGGCCCGAACTATTGGCTTCTCCATGCTTTCTCTCTCTTTCCTCTCTTTCTCTCTCTTTCTCTCTCTATCTCTCTCTCTCTCTCTCTCTCTCTCTCTCTTTCTCTATCGGAATTTTACTATCTTACTGTGATACGACACACGTGGAGAACAGCTCTTGTGCAACGTGTTGCGATACTCGCAATGCAGCTCGCAAACTCGCTTGCTACCAGGCCGGACCTGATACGGATCGAATGACATCTTGACAGCGTTCCAAGTGAGCGTGGAAGACTTAGCGTCTTCTAGCTAAATAAGGGCACCTGATGAATTTTCCGCGAAGAGAGCGCGGAGATAATTTAGGAAGCACTCTGTAATTCGCGCTCGAGCAGTAACGACGAGAACTTCTCCCTCTCCATCGACGGTCTTTTTCTTTTCAAAGCGAAATTATAGAGGATGAGACATTGGTGATCGAGCGGCGCCGACGTATATTTCTGTGAGGAATGCTTAAAATAAAACTGGCCTGACCTCGTCATACGTACGATCCACGTGATTTCGACGGCTCGTCCGTTCGCACGACTGCGTCTCTTCGAACGAAATGTTGTCGTGCAAGATATTCCCGCGTCATAATCGAAAACTTTATGCACGGATGTCGTAGTTCACTCGGAGAGTTCGCTGACGCTCGGCAAAAATATCCGCTCGCGAACGTCAATCTTGAACGTCGAGTGCATCGGTGAGTTTGACTTCACACAGGGAAGATGATTCGCCCATTGATACAATCGTTTATTCATTGGTGCTTTAGTACAAACGTGACGTCCCTTGCTAAAACGAAGTATTTGTTTATTCTGTATCGGCTTGTCAAGGGTCGACGATGATTCTTCCCGATACGCAAAAACGCGGCTTCGCGCAGATCGACGCGCCGATTCTGTTTCTCATTGTCGTCTTGCAAAAAAAAGAAATGTTCTCCTCCTGCGTCTGACTTTTCATACATACATACACACACACACACACTCTCTCCCCCTCCCCTCTCTCTCTCTCTCTCTCTCTTACGCGCGCGCAGTCATACACAGTGCATTCTTCTCGTCATATAAAATTACAGTCGTACGTTGAAAAAGATTTGCGTATTTGTATATGCGATACGTGAGCTGATGTACATTGTACATTCACGTGTGTGTGTGTGTGTGTGTGTGTATGTATGTGTTGTGTGTGTACGTGTTGTGAATGCGCGTGTATAAGTATATAGACGACGTATGCGATGATATAATCCACTAAAAAACGGCGAGCCACGTACACAGGAATTCTCCTACCTGATGCTGCGCACATACACAGACACACACGTACACATCTCTCATGTTTCGTCGCGAAATTATCGAAGTGAAAAGTTCACACGCTCGTCGATAACGCCCGCGAAGTGTTGAACACAGTGCGCACGTATTTTATCTCTCGTTCACTGAGCGATCGGCTCGCCGATTATCCCGATCACCTCGCTTTTTGATCTCTCGAATGCGGCGTGAATCCGACGACTTGGTGCGGTGGAACTTGAGACTCGATAAGCGCGAAATTATAGATACTGCACGATATACATCGCACGTCCGAGATTAGTCACTAATCGTCGGGAAAATCCAGCCGTCGATATACCGCGCGCGTTCAGATCTCGGCTGTATGAGCGCGAGATCCATCAAGATAACGAGAGAAAGAAAAAGAGGGCGCAAGTGATGAACGGTTATCTCCATGAAAATGATGCAGTTTCTTCGGGATAAAACTGTTGGAAGTAACGGCGCAGCCGAGATCTGAGCGCGTAACAGTTCCGTGACTAACGATATATATATATATATATATATATATATATATATATATATATCACGCATATATAAAACTGTCGCCAAAACAATGGACACTTACGAACGTCCGTGTGTCGATAAAATTTTCAGTCGCGGCGCGAGCAAGATTCTTTTCTTCTGCAAGTTTCGCAGTCGCGCTAATAATATATGCATCCTCTTTTCATTCGTTTAGAATGTCAAATCACGGACGCTTTGTATGTGGTGTAAAACGCAGAAAATTGCCTCGACAAAGTCGGTTAGCGAATACGCAGAATTGGTACAGAGTATGCGGATTTCCGGTTGGTCTGTCCGCCAACTGAGTAACGTAAATCGAGTTTGAATACGTACGAAAAAAAGACGCATAATAATTTAGAGCAGAGTGTACGCTTGCGTTGTTGAATTGTTCCCACTCTGGGCGCGATAACTATACCATAGCTTAGACTAGTAATAAGTACAAGTACAAATAATGAATAACTATAAGATAACTCCAAAAATATGTGGAAATTTATTTATACTACCCCAAGAGTTAATACAGATATATCCTTTCCCACAGTCTACGTCTTTTTTTCTGCGATATTAGAATCGTATAACGCGAAAAGCGGACGCACAAACTCCCTCCTCCAACGAAAAAAGGATACTCATCTTCGAGTCTTAGCGTTGAAAAATATACGCGTACTTTCACGCAATAATTATATTTATAAAAATCTAGAGAATACTTTAAGTATACGTTTAACGGCTTTAAGTATCCTTTGGATTAAACGGAATATAAAACGAAAAAAAAAAAAATCAATAATCGCTGGATGTCATGATAAAATCGTATGTATTACAATTGTGCAAGTTTCTCACTGGTTATTTGATGTCTGCCAAGATGTAACTAAAATTTTCGTCCTCTATCTCTTTTTAACTAGATCGTCAAGTCGCGTGAGAGAAAATATTGCACGACCAAGATAGCAGTAGATAGCAAAAACATCGACAGTTTCGCAGTATTGGTACAAAAAATATTTCATCATAAAAACGCAACGTATCGATATTAAGTATTTAAATACTTGACTAATCTTAAATACTTTTACCGTGACACGCAATCGTCTTAATAATAGTCCGTAACGATAAAGTATAAGCAAATGGTAATGTAAAAATAATATCAAAGTATAAATACTGCTTTCCTATCACTTACATGTATACGGATAACGATCGTAATTGATAATTCGTTCAACCAAAAATCCACCCGTTATCCTAACATATATTGTATAATATATAATTGAATTAAACGGATAATATAACGAAGAGGGTAATATATCGCTGGAGACGGGGGTTATTAACAAATGAAATAATACGGTGTGCGGAATTATAAGCTTCGTAACATTCGCGATGAACCCCCAATTGCCTCGTCGTCTCGCCCATTATTCGTTCGTCGACGTAGATAAAGAACGGGGACAGTTGTTAATTATTACATATTTACATGTAACGCTCATATGTGCAGAACAGAAAAAATATCGTAATTGATGTTCCACAATACTCAACTTCTTCGGAATAAAACGTGAATGCACCGCTAATGAAACTAACGCGCAGTTATATAAATTGCTGTCTCTCGTAATATCTTATATTTTTTTCCCTTTTCGTTGATTATGTCCGTCCCAATTAAGAATACTCGCGATGAGTTTCGTCTGTATGTATATATGCATATGTGTGTGTGTGTGTGTGTGCTCTTGTCAATATTACATACAAAATAAATTAGAAATGTTCGTGTTGTTTGTACGCGAGAAAATTTTAATCGCCGTCTCCGTCAGTCTCTAGATGAACGAATTCGCACAATGTAATCATGCATAGGCCGCGAAAAGCAATCGCATTGTTATAAAAAATCGAATACGAGTTAATTACATTCATTAACGCACAGACGCACACTATCTATTTCTTCTCTTGTTTTTTATACAGTTATACAATTTATCCGCCGTTCAAATAGTCATACATACATACATACATATACACACATACATATATATATATATATATATACACATATATGTATATATGTATATGTATGTTTGTACGCGCTATAATATGTGTAACAGTATTTAGCACTCGCACTTAGAAGCAACGCTCAGACAACTAGTGATTGGTCAAGTGTGAGCTTTTTATAGTAAATCCTTTTTTCCATTCTCCCTTAATTATCGTAGCCATTAGGTAAACCGTCGATGAAATTACGATATGGAAAAAGATCGATTGTGATTATGTGAGACGCGTATCTATCGTATCGTATTAATACGAAAACGCTACTCGCGGACAAGCGTGCTTTCGGTTTTCGCAATTGCTTCTGTATTTTGTATATTCCCGACGTTATTGTGCGCGCGATCATGATTACGTTCGATTATGCCTCTGAGTAATCCGTCCAAGTCGAGGTGAATGTGTAGCGAGCTATGTATAAGATGAGAATAATAAAAGACTCGTTTTAACGATCTCTCTGTGTGTGTGTTCTACTGTCTACATGTAGAAACCGCTATTTTCGTCGCGCGTCCGCGTTTAAACGCGCTCGTTGGAGGGACACGAGTCTTGAATGGGCCTAAAGCTCCTGGCGAGTTCGTAGTAATTGGCTATAAACATTCTCGCGGTCTCCTTTCTCTTTATCTTTATTCACTCAGTACGAATAAAACCCGATATTTCCGCCGACGTTCCGGCCTACTGTTATTTAATGCACGATTGAATATTAGCCTAACTCCTGTTGTCTGTACTATTTTTATTGAAACGACCTAGGCGACCTAAGATTATGATTCGTTTTCAGCATCATGGATTCGTTTGGGTCGCGGTGTCGCGGTGGCCCTCGGTAGCTCCTTACGCTCCTTTACTCGGACTAATGAAATATGTCAAAATGTCGGCGGCATTTTGTCAAGGGCAGAGATCATTCGGTTTGGTACCGGTACAAGCTGTATAATCCCTAGGATTAATAATAATTAAGCACCCTTCCAAGCGCATTATTCGTACTACACCAATGGAATTAATAAAAAATCATTGCGTCTTGAGAGAGAGAGAGAGAGAGAGAGAGAGAGAGAGAGAGAGAGAGAGAGAGAGAGAGAGAGAGAGAGAGAGAGAGAATGAAGGAGAGAGGAAAGAGAGAAGCGAACAGAAAACAAAGTACCTCGCGTTGCCTAAGGTTTTAAATCACATATCAAAGTTCGCGCGTTGAACGATTGATTGGTTTAATCAAAGACGATGTTCTTTCGTGTTCATTCGCATGCTCTCTCTTTTTCGTCAGTGTTTCCCTCGCGCAGCGACTATTCTCGCTGCTGAGGTGTATGTGTGTGTGTGTGTGTGTATGCATGTAAATTGTGTGTGTGTGTGTGTGTGTGTGTGTGAGTGTGTATGCATGGTGTGTGTCGATACGACAAGTCCCATGATAATGTCGATTCCGAGAGATCGTACTTTACTTCGCGATCGTCCTCCGTTCGTCTCACTCCCGCACGACCAGACTGCGTTTTTGTGAAAGCGTGATGTTTGATGATATCCACGTCACAGTCTCAGTTCGGACACGGTCGTTGCGGCGGCCGTGACGTGATCGCGCGCGATTATTGTCTGTCCTAGACTACTGCTACGAGAATTTAACGAAGGGATCGCAGCTTGAGTCTCAGCACGAAGTAAACAACCACCCGTAGAACGAGCAGAAAGCCGACCAGGGCGACGACGTCCACCCAGTAGACCGCGTTCTGCATGGACATCTGTTCGAGGAACTTCGTTGGACTCTTGTAGTGGCAGTAGGACTCGGAACACTTTAGCTTCGCCCGATTGTAGCCGTAAACGGAGATCATGGCACCCTCGAAACCGTATCTCACGTAGCTCACGTACGAGAGAAACTTCAGGTATCGCGGAACGGCGTCGAAGTTGATGAAGAAGCCGGAGAACAGGACGATCGGCACCGACATCACGGGTCCGATGAATACTCCCGTCTGGAAACGATATTGGCTGGGTGAGATGACTGGTAGCGATTCGCGGGACGGATGAAGAGAGAACATTGATCGCTCGCAGAAAGATCGCTCGAGTTAACGCGATAAAATGAACAAGCTAGACGCCTTCTGATCGAAGGAAACAGAATGTCTGGGTCTTATGATCCAAGTTGACTTTTAAGAACCGGTATCTGGTCTGTTATCTCCAAGCAAAACGCATTTAATGTCACGTTAAATCAAGCAATCCTTTTCTCCGCGCACGCGCAGTGCATTTCTCATGATCGGATGTTTTTGTTCAGAAAGTAATATATTTTATATATCGTCGGAACGTCGTTACCTCCACGCTCATTGCCGCTCCTATCAGCAGACCGATAGATTGCGCGACTAATGACGTCAGGATGCAGATATTAAGATACATAAGAAAACGCTCCGTTTCCAGCGGTTGCGACGTAATGAAGTACACGATCATCACGTATGCTATGGAATATACAATCTGCAACAATCCGGTATCACGTGTCGTGAGTCGGCGTATCACGGCCGGTTAATTCATTGGACACGGCAGGCTGAAAATTGTACTCACTTGGAACGGCAAGTCCGCCAACGTTCTCGCGAAATAAAAGGCTTTCACTGAATACCAATAATTCAAATGCTCCCTCACAAACACGGACATTTCCATCGGAACTGCAACAAGAGCGACGAAATGACAATATAACGCACCCAGGCGGCCAGGCGCTAACTGCAACTAATCGCGTCGTCGCTACGTACACGTCAATATAGTAGGCATCATAGCGGTGAACATGAGAAACATCACTGTGAAGAAGACGCATCCGGCATTGCTGGTGACCTCCGATGCCTCGTTGCCGATGTCGTAGTAAATGGCGCCGATCAGCAGGCCGACGATTATATGCGAGATCAGCCTCACTCTCGTCAGCGTCTGTTTGAGAGAAAAGAAAACATGGCACGTGAGATGAGAATAAAGTAGAAAAGTGAAACAGGCTCGCGAGTCTCGGCGCACAGAAGGAAGATAGACACGGCGCATTGTCTCTCTTTCCACGCGCAACCTTCGTCCGGTGTGATTACTTCTTTTTCTTTTTTCTCTTTTCTTTTTTTCACGGCGTTCATTGCAAAGTTTCTCAATGAAGAATTCAATTTCTCGTATCGACGAAGCGTCGCGTCGTCGTCGTCGTCTCTCTCTCTCTCTCTCTCTCTCTCTCTCTCTCTCTCTCTCTCTCTCTCTCTCTCTCTCTCTCTCGCGGACGAATCGACTTGCAAATCGTCGTTGCTCACCATATCTCGTATCTGCGACAGGAAGGTCCTCTTCAGCAGTATCCAGAACTGCACCCAGCCGTTCGTCGGAAAGCCGACCTTCTGTTCTATGCTCTCCGCGCTGTCCAGCAGTAACGTGGTGCAAGACACCGGCATGTTGATCATCGTCGCCCCGGGCGGTGGCTTCGCCACGCCGTTCGGTATCAGAGCGGCGCCCTCCGATTTCGTCTGCTCCTGCGGCGACTCCTTGGCGATGTCGTTCGAGACCGTCTGCGCCGTGGCGATCGCCGCTTGATGATGCTGATAATTATTGCACTTGCCATTGTTCACGGCCATGACGAGCTTGTGAACGCATTCGCCGTGCTCGCCGCATGCGACTTCCATCACTGACAACCGATAAAATCTCGTTAACGCGAACAACTTTGAGCAACGCGAACCTACGCGACTGCTACGTCACTGATACGTATATGACTTATCGGAAAGAAAGCGCTAATCGAAATTTGACCAATTGAGGTAAGCAAGACACTCGCCATAGTCCGCTGGGTTGTGGTAACTCGGGCATTCGAGACCCATTGACGACAAGAAGGGCACCAGACCACCGACGTTGCCTTTATATATACACTGGCCTTCGGCAAGTAGGTAAAGATGATCGAACATCTCGAACAGACGGGCGCTCGGTTGATGAATCGTGCATATGATCGTCCTTCCTGCAAGGTGATCCAGCGTGCACGATAACGCTCTCTTCCGTCACGCGATCGCGCGAAGCGCGATCTGATCAGATTGTGCTACTACGGTCTTACCTCCTCTGCTTAGAGACTTGAGCAAACTGAGACATTGGAAGCAGGAGGAACTATCTAAACCGGAAGTCGGCTCGTCGAAGAACATAACCGGAGGGTTATTGACGAGCTCCAGCGCGATCGACAGCCTCTTCCGTTGTCCTCCGCTGAGATTCTGAGTTTGCGTGTTGCTGGCCTCGCGTAGGCCGAGAGTTTCGATTATCTCCTCGATCTGCGCTCGAATTACACACACACACACACATACACAGACGTCAAGAAGCAGACTGTCGGGGCAAAACTTTGAGTGATCGCGTCTTTACGACCACGCAACGCAAGCGGAGAGAAATTCTGTTTCTACTACTACATACCACCACTTTCTTGGCAGTCGCGCTTATGTCCTTCCCCAGCTTGAGATTCGCCGAGACAGTCATCGCCTCGTAGACGGTCAAGTGCGGCAGCAGTCGGTCGTCCTGCATGATGTAGCAGGACATTTTGCGAAATCTCCTCAGGTTCCTGTCCTTTCCGTTTATCAGCACTGATCCGCTCAAGTGGGACGTTCTGCGGACGATTATTACGCGATTCAAATTCTCATGTTCTCTCGTCGAGTAGTACTTCGCTGCTGTCAGCGCGATTGCAACTTAAGTGTCTCTACTGCGGTAACTTGTCTCTTACTTGTCCAATTTATACCGTTAATTTTCCATTTTCGACATTGCAACTTGCTTACTTGTAACCCGCTAAAACGTTCATCAGCGTGCTCTTCCCGGCGCCGGACGGTCCCATGATGGCCGTTAGCTCTCCAGATCGGAATTTCCCGTTTACACATTTTAGGATAGTTTTGTATCCTGCAACGCAATGGAGAAATGATAAAGCAAAGTGATGGTAGATCGTCGTCTCGTGCAAAATCTCGTTCGTATTCGCGCGGTGCGCGCATTGCCATGGACCGTGGAAGTACTTTTTTCCTTATTGTTTTTCTTTTTTCTTTTTTCTTTTTTCTTTTTTCTGCGCAACTGCGTTACATGCTTATAAATTGAGGTACATTTTTTTTTTACGAAAAGTAATATCATCGGCGGAAGCGAAAATAGTTCAGTGATCAAAACAGCAGCATAAAGCGGCATACACGTTCGATTTTTGCTGCAATAGTTTGCTGCAATTTTTGTCACGATCTTGCCAAAACTGCAACGTCCGCGCTAGATCGCCAGACGGAAGTTCGCGCAAATTATACATCCCTCGAGCGGACAAAACCTCCGGCTGACCTCTTTATCGTGGGTGCAGTTGCACCGCTCGCGCGGTGCATCTGCGCCGAAACGGGAGCTTGCCTGTGCATTTCTATCGATTTTTTCGGTCAGGTCGTTCACACACGTTGATAGACGAAAAGCCTACCGGACGGGTTCCTGCATATTTGATTCGCCACTTTGGTTCGATCGCTCGAACGTCCTGAAGTACGTCCCGCGTCTTTTTTCAGCGAACGTATCGGCCGAATGATGCCAGCCTGAAAAACGCGTCGAGTGGACCACGATAACGCGTTTCGCAAGGGGTCGCGAGGGATCTTCGATGAGATTTTCCATGAGAGAGAGAGAGAGAGAGAGAGAGAGAACTCCCGCCGAGATTTCTATTCCTCTCCCTCTATTCTATCCTCTCCCTCGTCATCTTTGTCTTTTTCTCTATTTTTTTACTTCCTGCTCGCTGGATTACGATCATCACAGCTTCGGGCAGCGTGCAGCACGCGAAAACGAGGAACGAGACATTCTCGCGAGGTTTGGACGTACGATCGTCACTTTCCCGAAACTCACCCCTCTTCCTGCCTTCGGACACGCTGTAGGCCAGGTCCTTGAACTCCACGTCGACCGGTGGCCTCTTTGGAAGATGCGTCAGCGATACCGCCGGCCTTTTGTTGCCTTGTCCGGGACTAGCGCCGCTGTGGTTCGGCACTTTTCTGGCCAGGACCCCGCCGGTGCACACCGTCGCTGCAGCACCGTTCGACGTAGTGCCGTTGCAACTGCAGTGGAGATTGTTCTGCGAGCCGCTGCAACGACAAAAGTTTCCTGTCTTTGCTCGCTCTGTCGATTTCGTCAACTGGGTCTCGACGACTCGGCGGCGCGCCTCTATCGCTGTTTGACGTAACACGCGCGGGACGTTTCACGCCGAAGACCAAACGACAAACAATGACTTGGCGGACTTTGCAGGAGGTTTCCGTGCAGCAGCAGGAGACGGCTCCCGAAGCTTGTGTCGTGCGATCATTGTGCGGTAACCTACATTGCTCCGCGCGCCGTCGCGAAGAAAAGCGCAACTCTCGTATGCATTAAAATTAAATAACCGTGCTCTTGCCGCCGAATGTAGAATGCGTCAGCACGCGAGCCGCGAGCTTGCGAATGCGTGCCGATCTATTCAAAGCCAACGAAGTTCTCGGCCAGTGACAGCAGCAGCAGTTTCGCAGAAATTCCGTAATTAGCCCTTAAAGTGCGACAATGCGCGCGACCGCGCGCATTGGAAATATCGAGCGTCTGAAAACCTTCAAAAGATGTCCTTCAGCCGTCGTGTACATCTTCACCGTTTCAGATGCACGCCATTTTCCATCAATCATTTCGCGACATTGAGAGTCACAATCGGCCGCCTTCGGACGCGCGGACGCCATGGAGCGCGTTCGGTGAATGCGAGATTGCATAGGACACTGAACATTTAGTTCATGGTTGCCTTCAGATTCGAGGAACGATGATGTACGAACAGAGCGTGGCGCCCTTCCCGCCGCACGTTACATCTCGATAGTTTCTCCGTAGACGCATCCGCGAAGGTAGATACATTATCACACATACACGACGCCCGACACGCGCAGCATCCGAATTAATCGACCGAGGTGATTTACTGAGAATTGCTGAGGACGAGAAATTAATACGGAGCGTAGTTCCTCTTTCCTCCGTCGAATCGTGCACGGCATTGTTGTCCGTTCGCGATTTCACGTGCGCGTCATGAAAAGGCAGCTTTCCTGTCATTCCTGCCGTGAAAGTTTATTGTTCCTCGATATTACGGCAAGGCAGAAAAATATGAGCGCGACATTGACCGCTCCTGATACTTGCGATACATGCAAGGCATGTACTCGCAGATGCCGTATAGATCAACTCGATGGACTCTGGTGGCTACTGAGAGGACACGGAAGAAGAGAGAGATATCTCCGTGACCGATTTCATTTACATTGGAATGATTCGCCTTCGTACCTCGACGCTTTATTGAACCTGCTTATCGCGCTCCCCGGAATAATTTCTTCGCCTTCTTCGTCTTGCTCGCTTCGTCGGCAGACCCCGCGATTGTTCTTGTTACCACAAAGCATTCCGTTCTCACCGAGTCGAGCTATCGCGCTCATTGGAAAAGAAAAGAAAGAAACTCTCGAAGAACGTAATAAAAGTGGTGAGTGAAGTTCGAGTCTGTGGTAAGTAAATTCCGAGGAAAATACGGCAGGCGCGGCTTCGCGAAAATTGCCGAGCGATTTGTGTGCCGTGCGGACGCTATTAAAGTGAAAATAAGCAACTCGTCTGTCCGTTGAGCAATCGGGAGAACGATTTCTCGCGAAAAAAAATTTGACGATCGGGCAAAGTCCGTTTTGCCCCCACTCTCTACGGGAAGTTATCGCCAGGCATGCGTATGTTTCACTTTCGAAAGATCCACGATAGATCCGTGACGGTGGTAAACCCGTAAATTTCAGATTGCTTCGCCAATTTTGAAATTGAAGCGAAGTGTCAGCGTGTAGATCTCTCTAAATGCGATCATTCTTTCGTTTTCTAAAGATCGCTTGATTGCAAATTAACATCACTCGCTGACCAACTGAGCCATTTTTGCAGAGTGCAGCGTAACGTCAATTATCCCGTTAATTAATTTGAGCGACTGATCATCATCTCTGCCAGTCCGGCTAACATCGGTTTTCTCGATACGCGAGGTCTTCGTACTTTCGACGACATGACAGACGAGCCGGCGGACGAATAAGCGATTTGACGAAAGTAATTTGACGCGTAATTTTTGGCATTTTCGTAGACGATAACGTCAGGTAATAGAAAGATCGCGTGGAAATCTCTCCGATCGATTCTACACGCTTCTCTATATTTATAGACGACAAATTTTATGACGCCTCGCCCTCTACGAGACCCGTCACGTAAGTCTGTCGCGCTGTCTATCGACTTTTTCATTAAGACATAATGTGTGGCACGGCCTATAAAAATTTAAAATACCGAGTCAGCTATCAACTTTCTCGCGCGATTGCCATCGCGTAAATAGTCCAACTCGCGCCACAAAGTTCCAGTACTGTCTAGTTACTTAGAGAAAGAGGACGAGGAAGAGAATAACACGGGGATATTTTATCATTTTGCGTTTAGTAAAAGTAACGTGTTGAAAAAAAAAAAAATTATCTCGTGCCTATAAGCTTGCATCTTCCTCGACGAAGTTGAGACGCCGCTGCGAGGGATATTCTGCGACAACGTCGTCGCAATATATAGCGAAATATACGGTGATGTAGCGAAAGAGGATGCACATAGTACGCGGATGCACAATCTCTTCATTCACTCGACTGACTCGAAAAAGCCACAAAGGAGACGCGTTTCTGTCTGGCGACACGTTACGGTCGCCCTTGATGATGAGTCACAGGGTCGTGGCAGTTGAAGCGACCGATTCTCTCTTACGATGCGCGTACATCGATAAGTGCCATAAACTGTTTGGAAAAATTTCAATTAAACCTACGGCAAGTGCAAGCCGCGTGCTCGCGAATTCCTGTCTACTCTTGATATTTCAAAGCGTTCGAGCAATATTGAATCGAGCTCTCGCGCAACGGAAAGGTCGAAAACCGTGATTGTTTATAGGGGCCTTGAGACGATTAGCATCGATTGCCATTTCAAGTCCCTTGATACAAACCTTGAGAAAGGTACCGCGACGATCGAAGGTAGAACCTTGAGATCCCTTTTAGATCTTAGTATTTAGGGGAGGTTTGCGTGTTCGGAGGAGTGACCCGAGGTTCGTATTCTCAGCCCTCATTCACGGCTCTCACGAAGCACGACTAAATCATGTCTGAATGAATTGCAATCTGCGTTCTGCTGAGAGATGGACCCCTCCCTCAAAATTACGAAACGATTAGATCAGTTCGATAGTTGAGAGTTGATCCAAGCATGGTATAACCATTGAACCTATTCGCGACACGTTTCATCTCGAAACATCGACTTGGCGCGAAAATTTAGAATGGAGAAATAATCGATGAGTAATTTTACATATTCTAGCTTACCAACGAGACTCGCCTTCCCACACACTAAATCGAGCATTATTACTCGTTCTCTGAAATGACCATGGATTTCGTGCTAAATCGTCATATTGCTATACGGCGACTAAAATGACAAAAAGCTCTCGTAGCGCTCGCGGTCAATATTAATTTATGTAGATGCTATTTATATACACTACATTTCCCTAGACGATCATGAGGTAATACCGTAATGCAGATCAATAGCGCAAACGTGTGTTTGCGCGGAATCACTTGTCATTTTCTGAAAGGATGATCGATTTTATGCTCGATTACCGTGCTGCTTGGAAACAACGACTAATAATATTAGAAAAACCTCCTGATGATCATGGACGCAAAATGCACGGTCGATATTAATTCACGAAGGTAATAACATCTAACCACTGGACCCAACCTAAACCCTAAACCACTGGAAACCAAAAATATATGTCGTGCCTGAGTCGCGTTAAAGCGTATAAGCCTCAATAAAGTGTACATATCATACCCGTCCTCTACTAATTGCCTTAAAAATATTCTACAGATTTAGATTGAGAGTCGATAATCCGGAAAATGTGCGTATGATTGTTTTAACGTGACCTGGACACGCCAAGCGTATCTTTGAGGTTTTTGATTTTAATTTTACTCTTTGTCGAAACCTCTTGTCACTGAAGAAGCTTCAAAATGAACCGACACGTTTGATGTCGCCCGCCAGCTTCTGGCTTCTGGTGTGCGAAGCATTGTTTCTACAACAGAATTATTCTATCCTCTGTCGGCGTAACTTTCTAATATCACCACTTGTGCAGGAATTAATTTCGCTTGACACAACTTCTTAATAGCATCCTTCTTGTAGAAAGTGCAATCTAAACAATATTTCATTTTGGCGTGTTTAGATTTCCTTCCTTTGTTGGCTGAAACGTTCCTGCCAACTAACATTTTTTTTTATATTACACGTATTTTATACGTGTATATATTTTATATAACACATATTTTATATTTTTATGTTACAGCATTATTATTTGTATTACTTCGTTCGCGAAAAGTGGCGTGTGTACCTTTGCCCTATCATTTATTTTTTTCTCGGAGAGGTAACTTTTTACGGATCGTAAATACGCGTCGCAGTATACTAATCGATATGTCATTAATGGTTCGTGTTAATGAAGAAAAAGAGAGAGAGAAAGAGAGAGAGAGAGAGAGAGAGAGAGAGAGAGAGGCAAGAGCGAACGAAAAGAGAAAAACTCGATTTCTTCTTCTAAGGCCACAATCAAAGATTACTCGCAGCAGAGTTCGAGGTAATCCAGAAACTTTTTTTTTCTAAACTACCATTGTGTGTATATCGCCTACAACAACTTTGAAACTTCTGCAGCAACGTACTCGTTTCTTTTCACCTTCATGGACTTATAGCATCAATCAATTCATGGTTATCACTGGCGTCTGACGCATATATACGAGCAGTTCTCATTTGTTTATCGTTCAACAATTGTCTCAACCACGAACGCGATCGCGAATTGGTCATAGGCGCGTAATTAATTTGCCGTAAGCGAGATAAATCGTACGCAGTATTACCCTTTGTATTCTTTTAACGTCGGCAATCTTTCGTCTATTCATCGTTTTCTCGCTCTCATCAATCAGCCCTTTAATGCTGGTCGCACCAGCGTTCGCGCCAATGTTTGAGGCCGAGCACGTCTACATTAACATAATCTTATTATACTATCAAATTAACGCGCCGGCTGCCGACGTAATTGCGGAGGAAAAGTCTCGCGTAACCCGGGTAAGCCCCGATAAGCGCGATACGTTTTGCTTCATCCACCATATTCTCACATTCGCCGTGCATTCTGATGTAGGCGACTCGTTGCAGCTATTCATAATTCATCGATCTATAATTCAGACAATCCGACACGCGCGTGGCACTTAGCTAAGGCCTTGGCTCGGCTTGATCGGAAGGATGTTCAAGTTGACCGCTCGTGTTTCACTTTCCCTCTTTTTTCTGCTTTTTATACGCGTCTCGTGTTGCTCAATCGGTGCGATCGGTTGTTTCCGCCCGTTGCTAGAAATATCTTTTTTCTTCCCTCGATTTGTCATGCGTCTAGTCATGCTTTCGACACGAGTTCGATTGCATTTCAAGCGAGCGTAAAGAGCGGGCGAGAGAGAGAGAGAGAGAGAGAGAGAGAGAGAGAGAGAGAGAAAGAGAGATCACAACGAACTCTTCTTACCCGTGGACCGCATTGTTGAGACTCTCCAAGTGTAAGGAGGGAGGGGGTGATCTGATCGTCACCTGGTGACTCCCGCCTGGGATGAATTGCACTTGTTCATCGCCGCTGTATCTGGAAGCTCCGCCACCGCCCAGAGCGAGATTCTTGAGATCAGCCATCATCCAGTGGTGCTGAAATGTGCATTTAACCGTGTTAAAACAATGTCTTGCTGTGCCAAGTGATTGATTATTCGTCGTCGTGCTTGGGTGAAGTGGAAACGGTTTAAAGAGCCAGATCGATGCGGCAAGAGGAAGTATATAGAGAGGAAGTAACAAAATGAGCTTCGAACAATGTTGGGTTGATCAGGAAATTCCTCCGGATTTGTGTCTTTCTTTTCTATTGCGAAATCCGAGGTAACTATCTAATCAATTCGATAATTACCTTTATGTTTGATCACGCATGTTGCTTCAATTTTCGATCTACCAAAGTCTTTCTCTAAGGCAAGGTGTGACATCTAATGTCTTTGTCGCCTTCGAGATACTGCATCTCTCTCGCAGTTTTTCAGCTCGTCAATTCAATTCAAACGGTCTCGTGCGACATCGGCTTGACGCGCATGGAAACGCGTTTAGGGATAAAGTTGAAAAACGTCTGAGCGGCTTTTTAGGCTTTTTATCATACTTGAAATTCCACCTGTCATGTTGTCGTGAGATACCTGACGCATTTAGAGCGATGGCTCAGAATTATCAAAACGTTCCGCGGGTCAAGCGCGCGACATTTCCCTCCGTCTTATTGCCGCACATTAAGCGAAGTGGCACGTAGCCACTGCCGTGACGATGTATACCGAATGCGTCGTGTCACAATTGAAGCTTAAAATATGTATTTCGATGTAAGGTAGGTGAGATATGAATGCTTCTCGACGAAGAAGCAGACGAAACGAAAGGTTTCAATAATTTAAGGCCAATCGATCAGGAATAACCTGCAGGAAGCTTCCAACCATCGATTCGATATTATTAGAGTCGATCCTCGTGTATGTCGGAGATAACCTGGCAAATACTTTTTACATACGAATCGAATTCATCGCGTATGCGGCAGGAATCGCGATATCTTACGAGATTCATGTAATTCCTCGCTTTTCGCTCGGTCCTCATAATTTCGGATAATTAATATCGTTGCGCTCTTGCGCAAGAAAAATAACACAGAATTAACGAAACAAAAGAAGCTTTATTAATACGTCCGTTCGCCGTGACAAGATTGGGGCGACTCTACTCTCATCTCATAATCTTTCTTTTTTTTAACAACCTCCTTGACAACAACAGCTGTCAAACAGTCTCTACTCGATTCCTTTGCAGTCCACTCCCAGGAGCGTGGGGATAACATGTCCCCCAAAGGCACGGGCGCAGCACTGCCCCCCCTCTTCTAAAATTGTCGTCCCGACAATTTCATGGAAAAGTTGCTCTCAATGCTCTTCTACTGTCTCGAAAAATTTCACACCATCTTTGCTGCTCCAAGGCACCTTTGGCGATTCCTTGTCACAACCTGGACTGCTGTCTCAGGTTCTCTCTCTGACTACGCCATTTCTTGTCCCAACAGCTACCAGGCCGAAAAATTGTCGACGTGACTCTTGAAGTTTCAGCTCACCGCTCTTCAGCTCCTTCTTCGGATAAAGGGGGGGTATAACCCGTGGACCTAACGTTCTTTAAAAGAACAACCCTTACCCACCTTGGCATTCGCCCTCTGGCTCACGGAAAAACCACGGTCAAAAATTGTGAGTAAGGTGGCCTTCTTAGATTTTTCGATGTCATCCGAGCTTCATCAATTTCACAACCAGCCTTATTCTTTCCTGAAATTTACACAAGAAAAAGAGAGTATCTGTTTTTCACAATTTTAACTAAAATCTATAGTAATAAAAATAACTTTTAATATCTTTTTCTAAACTGATAAGAAGTAGCTAACCTATCTGCATGAACAATTTTTTTTATGCTTAGAAGATTGTTGAATACAGTAAACAATGTCACTTAATTTTTTAACTATTTCATAAGGACCCTCCCAATTTCTCTGAAGTTTGGGAGCCCTTCCTACAATACGACGCGGATTAAACAACCAAACTTTCTATCCCATCTAAAACTGAACGCGCCCTCCCTCTCAAATTTGTCGCAAAAACTAAAGCCTCACTCCATACATTAGCTCGCGCAACTAATTCAAACTGAGAGATATATTCATAAAAAGACTCAGTACCGTCACAAATATCGGGTTTTAAATTAAGAAATTTTTGACACTGGCCTTGACAGTTTTCCCCTCGTCCTTGCTGCTCTATCCTCCGATTTTGTCGCAACTCCTGAAGCTCCAGTCGCTCTCGTTCCCGCTCCTCGCGTAGTTGACGCAACTCTCGCATCGCTGCTATCAACGTCGGAGCCTCTGTCTCTGCTTCCTGTCCGGCCGCAACCGCCTGACGGGCTCCTGCTGTTTGACTCCGCGTTGCCATCGGAGAATGTAACATTTCTCACAACACTTCTTTTCACTCGGACAATAAAAAAAATCGCGTCAATGCTCCCGCACGACGTCGATCTAATCCCGGACGAGCCCCCAAAGTGTTGCGCCCTTGCGCAAGAAAAATAACACAGAATTAACAAAACGAAAGAAGCTTTATTAATACGTCCGTTCGCCGTGACAAGATTGGGGCGACTCTACTCTCATCTTATAATCTTGCTTTTTTTCAACAACCTCCTTGACAACAACAGCTGTCAAACAATCTCTACTCGATTCCTTTGCAGTCCACTCCCAGGAGCGTGGGGGGAGGGGAACACATGTCCCCCAAAGGGCACGGGCGCAGCATTATTATTTGTGAAGCATCAAAAGTCTCTTTACCTTCTTCGTTTTTTCGTCTTGACCGACGGACGACAACGCTGATGTTAACAAGTAAAACAGCGAATACCACCTCACGATTAACGCGCCAGTTAATTAACACCGACTAATGTAGCCCTAACGTAATTCACCCGGATAATTAAACGCCGGCGAAGCGCTTGTCACTCACAAGGCGACGTAAGGCTTCGGATGTTTCTACCTGCGACGACTGAAAAACCGTAACAAAGAATACGCAATGTCCCAAAGCAATTTCCCAAGAAGCGAACAAAATCACGTGAGCAGTGAGAGCCGGGGAAACCATTGCCGGTCTCGGCGATTGTATATACATGCACACTTTGAATATCTACATAAACGAGATTCCCGTTAATCCCGAGCCTCTTCACTTTGATTAACAAACAGGACGCGGAGCGCTCGAAGAGCTTGTCCTTGCTGAAACGTTCGGATTTAGCAATTACGCGAGAAAAAAGAAACGTTGCTCTATCGTTGTCCATTAGAGATGGTTGCCAAGCGAGCAACGTTGACTGGCCGGCCGACCGGCGCCGATGGAGCTCTCCATGCGCCGTCGATTGTTACCGCGCCAAATCCGAACAATACGATAATCAGCGATAACGATTTCAGTTTTCCGAATCAAGGACAAAGGGCGAAGGAGAGAAGAGTGGCTGCCGAGGCTCGGGTGTCGAGAGATTTCGAAAGATGAAAAGCCTAACACACACACACACATACACACACACGTCACGTACGATACGTCATAACTCGGGACACGTTCTCGCGTCTTCGTTCGCATCGCCGAGCTCTCGCGTGAAAACGTCGGAGATCGAAGGGGATCGATCCGCGCGCCGCCGGACGTCGTCGGACGCTGTTTTTGCAGGGCGTGCACGTGTCGGCTATTACGCCGGTCGCGTGTTTGTGATACGCGCCCGATCGCATATTGCAGAACGCAAGCAATGGCGGCGTACCCGCGATCGCCGCCGCCGCCGCCGCCGCTGTATCTCGGATGCATTTTATTATCTGGAACGATGTCCCAGAATCTCTGTCTCTAGCTAGCCGAGCCTCTTCGTTGTTTGAACAGCTAACGTCCCCGATCAACCGGAGGCAATAGACGCTCGGTCGTGCTTGTTAATTAAGCGCTCGGCTCGCGACAGAATCGAGTCTGCAAGTCCGACGGGGGGAGGGGGTGAACTCCGGCGGCAGCGGGAACGGCTGTAAGGGCGGGATTCTCGTTTAGGCCTCGGGCGCTGCGAGTTGCTGCGAAGTCGCTCAGATGACACCCTGATGGGTCGCACTTAGCCGCGTCGATTTCTCGTATCGTTGGCAGCGACGACGGATATCGAGTCGGGCGACAGCTTATGTTGGCGTTCCAAACCGATAAAATTTCCAAGACGCGATAAGGAGCGCAATCGTCTGTACAGCCCATCGTCTTTCGCGTCTCGAAGGAGACGCAGTTGATAAGATATACTTTGCGCACCGGCGGGGAAGCCAGCCCGAGCTTAATTGGTTCGAAGTCCTCCCGGTGTGCAATTCGACGAATTGCTAGCACTCGCGACGCCCCTGTCAAGCGTGCAGCACGCCCACGTCTCCGATCGGGTCCCTCGTGGAGGAACTCGCGCGGAACTCTTCGTTAATGCCACAATTCGAACTGTTTCGTCTCGCGACACGGAGCGTTAATAAAATCGATGAATCACGTGGCATGGGAGCGCTGCTCGCGAGCGCGCGTGACCGCATCAGCTGCGCGCGTGTGTTCCTCCCATCCCGGCGCGGTTCTCCTCCGGATAATAGATGACTCCCCCCCTCCCCCCTCCCCTCCCCTCCCCTCCCCGTTCGCCGGTCATCCTGACCATTCCTTTGGTCCGAAGACACGGAATTTTAGACCAGGCTTCTTCGTGCCGGAGAGCGCAGGCAGAGAAAGAGAGATAAAGAGAAAGAGAGCACCACGACTCCTCGTCGGAGACACCCGCGTTGATCTCTCGCGTGGAATGGCACCGTCCCCTTTTCCCGGACACTCGGTGCACGTGTACGCGCCGCTGGTCGCCTTCGCGAGACTTGTCCTACCGAAGGGCGGAATTCAGCGGACTTGTTCGACGTACGGCAGCAATTTCTTCGCCGGACGTGACTTCAATAACGCTACCGGGCGGAGCCAATACGATCCCTCCGGCGACTTCGAGCCTCCGCATTTAGTTCTCCTGTCATCGCGCGCGAGATCGTTGTGGGATGTTGCTGACCCCCGATCGGTTCCACGTCGGCAGCCGCGTCCTCCGTCGCGTGGGTCGGACGAGACGTGATTAAAAGTTTGCTATAGGCGCAGCCGCCGTTAATCGCAGCCGTGCACGTGTGTTAAAAGATCTTAAAATAGTCGGTCCGTTCCTCGTCGGCTCGGGAGAAACGTAACGCCGGAATTATAATCCACGATCGGGAGACCCGTGGACCCACGGTGAACATTATCACGTCGCGAGCGTTTAATTAAGCGGACTATTGTTTTCATCGGCGGCGGACACGCGAGTCCTTCCGCTGAAAATAGCACGCGTAGTTCGGCATTGATGAAGAGAACGGACCAGAGACTTCCCCGAGCGAACGTACCATCATTCGACAGGCAAATTCTGCCCGTTAAACACGACCTCGCGAGTACACGCGACATAAGTGCTCGACGCGCAGGAGGGACTCTTATCGTAACACGCTCGTTAAGTTGCTTGGTCAAGGCAATTTGTACTAAGCAACGTGAGTCACGATCTCGAATTTTTAAGATTATTTTTAAGACTTTTCCAAGTCCGCGATCATAGAGAAGAGAAAGAGAAGAGCCTTTTGTTTAATTCCCCGCGACAGCGTAGCGCTTGTTCGACGAGAGCTTTGTCCCTCGAGACAGACAGGCGCATTTGACGTTTTAAAAAGAAACGGCCCTTTAAACGCGCCTTTTGAAGGCTTGATCGATCGAGCGAGCTTGGTCAAACAATAAAGAAACAAGCGATGGAGGAGAGCGGTCGTGCGACACGTCCGCGTCGAGGTTCTTCCGTGTGCCTGAAATAACGCGAAACGTATCGCGGAAATGAAAGACCTCCCCAGCCGACGAAGTAATTGCGTTTATCGAGCTGTGTAGAGACAATAGCGTCCAAGCGGCGCGGTCGCACGAGACCCTGTCTCGGGTGTCTCGGTAATTCATGCAGGTCGCACTTGTGATCCATAGATCCTCGTCCATTCACAAAATCGTCGCGCGACCGGGGACCGGGAAGTCGCTCGCGCTGCTGAGAGCGCCGATGTGTCTCGGAACGAGTGAGAACGCCTATCCGTCGTTGGAAGCGGGGCAACGATATGTCGATGACCGGATGACCAAGTGTGTGTTCCGCTGTGCGATTGCAGCGGGGCGTTTGCAGCTTTACGTACTTCTGGAGTCTCGCAGAATGATCGCGTGGTCGCATCGCGCACGATCCTCGATGGAGACTCGCCATCATGAAGAAGCGTCGATTCGGTCGAACGAACGACCGAGTTTTGCTGATAAATCGCGAGTAAATTCGCGCGACCCCGCAATTAATTACTGCGTAACGCGAGCGGCAGATGCGGAGGACAGGCTTCGCTTCGCGGCGCGGCGCGGCGCGGCGCGGCGTCCATGACGCATAGCTACAAGGGGTCGCGTAGGGTGGCTAACGATATCACCGACGTCCCACACGTCCTTCCCACACAAAGGCTACCACGCTAACGGGATAACTCACCCTCGGACGAAAGTGGGCTCAGCTGCTGCCGCGACGTCCGAACTCATACCACGACTATGACGTTCCGCATCTTCGATCTGTCAAGCACTCGGACCTGTCAAAGCGTCGCACGACGACGCACCCACTGGCAAAGGTCCTTCCCTGGGCTGTGACGAGGCGATATCACAAACCACACTGGCGTTCGCACTGAATCGAGGCAGCAAGCCACGCTGAAGTCGCGATTCCACCCCGGGCTATCGACTGCCGTCGTCGACAGGGGCGGTCGATCGCGAACGCGTGCACGCACCAGAATCTTGAACCTGCTATCGTGTACGCACCGAACGGGACCGCAACGTGTACTGCGACTGACGGGAGAGAGAGAAAGAGAGCGTCAATCGCATACGACGCACCGCACCACCGACCGCGATCAGCTGTCGAGTTCTCTGTGCACCTCCACTCCTTGCCACCGACGAAATGAGCCGAGCTCGAGAGCGACGGAGTCCAGGGACGGAGGTGGTGACGGTGATCCGCCACCCAGCTGACTCGCTCTCTCTCTCTTTCTCTCTCTCTCTCTCTCTCTCTCTCTCTCTCTCTCTCCCTCTCCCTCCCTCCCTCTCTCTCTCTCTCTCTCTCTCTCTCTCTTTCTCCCCTCTCGCCTTCTTTATTCTTTGTCTTAGCGCATGGAAAAGCGCGGGGAAATTCGTTGTGTCGTGTTGAATCTTGGCTCCGTGAAATTTCGCTTCCTTGCTTTGGAGAACGCGTTCTGCTGGATGCACGAAGTGGTGAAATTTTCGAGCGGTCGCGCAACGCGCGAGCGCGAAAATACAAAATGGCAAAATCGTCGCGCGCAATTCGCGCTCCGCGGTCTCTCGTCTTTGTATTTCTTGCGACCGTGCGGCTCTCGCGGAGTATTTCCGCGAATGCAAAGTACGAATTGTTAACCTGCGTATATTCTTGATTATTACTGAGAAATAAATGATTAATATTTATCTATTTTTTGCTACTTATCTACTTGCTACTTATCTAGTTCTTATAAATGTTCAATATGCTCCGACGGCTTTCGTATGTCTTGATTATCATTGTCGCGGGTAATGTCAAAGATAACTCTCGTCTATTAACGCACACTCGTGCGGCAAATATTAGTTAGATAACAAAAGTACATGTATAAAATTGATTCAGCCGTCAGGTCGGTCAGGTGTCAGCTTGTTGGCCGTACTTATTTGTTGAATTAAACATCTACGTGTACTTCAAGGAACGACACGCGCCGTTCGATTCGAGGACTTTGATCTTCGCTCAGCGGGTGATTGCGCCTATCAAACATGAACTTCCAAAGTATCCAGCGTTAATCTCGATAAATAAGTCGTGATACAGCCGGAAACACGCGACATCTCGTCTCTTTGCCTCGCCATTACGAGACTCCATTACGCGTCAAGAAAAGGAAAAATCGTGACTGTAAAATTCCCGTAGCTCATTTCCTGGTAGCCACGGTGATTCAAGATAATGACACACGCGGGCTCGCACGCGGGATCTCATTTTCTACTGCTCGTTCAGGTAATTATTCGCCCGGCTGAGGGAGAGAAAACAGAGAACGGAGCGCGCGAGCGCTCTCTCTCTCTCTCTCTCTCTCTCTCTCTCTCTCTCTCTCTCTCTCTCTCTCTCTCTCTCTTTCTCTCTCGTGTGCTTGTTACGCAAAATATAAATAATTGGTCGACCTATGAGTTTAGCGAGCGGGCGGAACGTCGCTCGCGACGATTACGTCGCGAAGGAAGGAAGAGGAGACAGCTGTCCGCGCGAAAGTCGTCGCATCCGTTCGGATGAAGGGACAAAGAGGAAAGGAAATGAAAAATCGGTCGTCCGATTGTCTAGCGAGCGCCCACGTGCGAGAAACGAATTTTCCGAGACTCCTCGAGAATACCTCCGTGTGCGGGGTGCGTTCTCCTCGTCGTACACCGTTGACGCTCGCGCATGGACAACAAAGCGCGGCCGCGTCACGACGGCTGAATGTCGCGGGCACGTTCGCGCGAATATCGACCTTACAGAGCTCACTTTAGGAGAGCGTGTCGAGAGAGGAGCGCAAGGCGGGCAGAGGCCGAGCGGAACGGCGATAGAAAATAGGAGAGGGAATTATAATTCCTTCCCCGAGCGCACGGGGGAAAGGAAAGAACGAAGGAGAAAGGAGAATGAGCCGCCACATGCCGCGGGTCGATACTCTAGCACTGAACTCTCGCGGGTACAGCCGCACCGAGAGTACGCTCGCACCGGCGCGAGTGCGACCGCACCGACGAGCGGTTGAAGTCGAAGGTTGCTTGCCTGGTGTGTGAGCGCGACGAGGAGAGCCGCGCTCGACTCGCTCGCGGAAGAGAGCTGGAGAGCGAGGGAGAATCCACGACGGACAGCTGCACTCATGAATGAGGATCGAAGTCCGGGTTCGGCTCTGACGTAAGTCACTGTCGTCCTGCGGCCTTTCGCGTCCTCCGGTCCGTTACATTGTTTATTGCGTGATGTTGGAACATGCAGACCCTTAAAAGTAATCGACGCTCCTTTGTTAACGCTCGAGGAGAGTCGCATCGTCATCAGGTGACATGCGTCCTCTCCGCGGCGAGAGAAATGTGTCCTGACGCGAGTCTGATTCTCGCGTAGCGCCTCTCAGGATCAGCGTGCGCTTCCTTTCGACCGATCGAATTCTCAGACCAAAGAGCGAGCTCCTTTCTCTCTCTCTCTCTCTCTCTCTCTCTCCCCTCTCTCTCTCTCTCCCGCTCGCGCAGTTTAACAACTGCGTCGGTGCCTCTCGACGCGGAAAATCAATGAGAAAATATGCGCTATCTGAATCTGATCGGCCGAAGAATCCGTCATGAACGGCGAGAAACGCGGAAAGAAACTCCGGAGTTTGTTTTGCTCGTGGCAAAAAGCGTCGGATATTATCAAGGCGAAGCGGCTAGCAGTAAACACTGGGCTTACAAATCGCCTATGATGTTTCCAGCAAACGGTAAGAAGTGGATCGCGCCAGGGCTGAGAGAGAAACGCAAGGTGTAGCGGGAAGTGCGGCTTACTCGCTCGCGCATTATCCCGACGGGCATTTCATTAGCTATTATTCCTTGGACTCTCGAGCGTGCTCGCGTGCGCCTTTGATTTCTCCGCACGCTACGTCGTTCTCCGTTTCAGGAGAAGCGGCAGTGAATACTACTACTATTTTAGGTTCGCCTGCCCGGCGAACTTTGCACCTGTGCGGTTAAAAATAATGCATCCCCCGCTTCACATCGCGTCGGTATGACGCGCTAACGCCGAGAGAGACAATGCAACTCGCGCTGTCCGAATTCTCTAGTAAGTCCTCGCTAACGGTTTCGCGCTTTCTCGATCGACTGACACAACTGCTGCTCTCCACGTGGCATGACAAACGAAAATTGCTAACGAGATGATGACATCACGGTGACCGAAAAACGACTCGTATCGCGTGTTTTTTGCCTCTTTCCGGCGACGATCCAAGGTAATGAAGATAGATATATGACGTGACCGTCAAGATAATGATTTATTTTTTGTTCTTTTAATTTTATCCCGGAGAACGTCGCGACATGGCGCGCAGCGCGCTGTTTATCCGCACGATCGAGGAAATTGTCCGCGTTACTTTTCGCTTCAATCTCGCATTTAATTGGCAAAGGGCACCGCGGGAGCGAACGAAGTGCGTGTACATGGCGGACAGGAAACGGATTACAGTTCTTTCATCAGCCGATTTTCTTCGAATTGCTTGTTAGGAGGATTTCCCGTAAATCGTCCGGCAATTTTCTTTTATTCATGACGATATATCACGGATATTAGCTCGGCAACCCCGGGAAGGCTAATAAAGTCATCTTGCACGAGTGCGAGCTACTCGAACGCGCGTTAACAGACTCAGGTGCATCTCGATGACAGAGAGTACGCGTGTAGAAGTGCAGTAACGAAGGAGAATATTACGATGACGTCTAAATTCATGTTTGAACATTCTCTGTACAACGCAGGTGATAACGAATCATTGCGGAATATTTTGTTCAAATCTGACAAAATTGCGAGAAATTTCACGCGACTTCCTTATATTATCTGCGCCATATCATTGGCAAACGTATCATTATCGGTGAGAGATATCATTTAATCGGAGGGAATAATCCTCCGAAACGACGTTTGCTTTCGCAACGAATCGATCGAAACGTATCTTTATGTGAAGGGAGTTTCCTGTTTAGTCCATCAAGAAAGAATTTTGGTCTGTCCCAAAATTGGCTTATCGTTTATATTTTATTGAACAGCCAGTGATTAACGATTTTTGTCACGTTTGCTTTCATTCAACTTTCCTTCGGGAAACGCTGCGAGTCGCGCTGCGAACGCTGCAAGGGCTGAGGTAAAAATCTCTTTCTTCGTGAGCGGCATTCCTTTTCGCTTACGCTGCCGGAATTGTTTGTGCCTGGCAGTAACGGACCATCTGTATTTATGTGTTCTATCGAACGTCTACGAGCACACACGCGACGCTGGAACGCGGTGATCCCGCCGTGCGGAATCAATTCCTCGTTTCTGCCGAGTGTCGCGAGTTAAGAAGTCGCCGACGATTAGACGAGCGAGAGATCGAAGTTCGCGTCGCGATCATTCCCGCACAGTCATCCGACACAGCGCAGCTTCCGGTACAGCTTCCCACCGCCGGAAACGTCGTTGTCAGTTGCTCACGTGCGCTGGATAGCGCGTGTTCGCTTTTTACGCCGGAGCGCTGATTTCATGACTAATGACCTGGTTCTGTCGCAACGTTCGCTGCGTCCGTCGCAACGTCCGAGCCTCTTTGTTCGCGGACTTCGCGAATCGGTGCATTCCTCGCGACGACGTCGACTTTCGATATCGGTGATCGTGCAATCACACCGGACGGAAGAGCTGGACGTAATGTTTTCTTGCGATAGAACGCTATAGCTATAGAACGCAACCGTCTGCCCCGATCGGAGAATTCGTGGAATTTCCATCGGAAAGCAAATTCATCCATTTGGCCGGACGGGTGCACTCCAAAATACGAAATATCACGTACCGCTTCCGAGCAACACGTTCACATGGGCGATATCGCGTAATTACAGGTGCATCCACACGCCAAGCCTTGCGCGATCGAACCGTTTGCTCGCGGTCATTTAATATTAGAAATCACAAGCAAAATCTTCGTCCGTTCGAGTTATGAGAGAGAGAGAGAGAGAGAGAGAAGAGAGCGCGAACGATTGAATTAGTCGGATATTTCATCTCGAGACTCTCGGAAGCAAATCGTATCCAAGTAAATCGCCCGCGGCTCAGAGACGCTCGGACGTCCTTCCGAAAAATTCACACCAAGAAGCGCGGAGTAAGTTCGGAGAATCTCGTCTCCGGTGCGCAAAGTACCGCCGGCCATTGTGGGTGTTTCGCGAAATTGATTCACAAGAACGCGCCGCGGGATCGCCATGAACTTTCGTCCGGCGTGAGCGAGCGGCGAAATTGTTTCAATAGGAGCAATAACTGCGGCCGTAATAGCGTCAAGTGCGCCGAAATTAGGAGAAACGCGATAATCGCCCGTTCGTTAACTTCTACTTGTGCCCATTTCTTCCCCCTTGCGTTTCTCGGTACAGTTAATTGCACGCAATTGTTGACGGGCCCCGTAAACGGCATCGGCCGACGGAAGGAGAAGAGAGATCGGCTGCGTAAACCGCTCCCGTCTCGTCTGCGTTCATCGTTTATCTCTCCAATTCGTGATGCAGATACGTCAACGAATACCGGACGCAGGTCGATCTCACACAGCGATTGATGATTCAATGAAAGTGAGATGTGAGTCAGACGAGAACGTTCATTTTTTCCCGATGCTTGTCACGAGTCACGAGGCCGTCGTACGTCGTCGGGAGGCCGAGTCGAGTGCGCGTGCACCGAAGTCGAATGCAGATTCTTCCGAGGTCACTTCCGTTCGGCATAGCCGGCTGGGAAAATTATACGTTCCCTCGAGAGGGAGAGGGAGAGAGAGAGAGAGAAAGAGAGAACGTGATATTCCCATGATTACTTCCTAATCGAAGACGGGGGAACGTTTCAATGTGCGGCGCAAAGTAGCGACGCCTTCGCGCCGAGGAAACGCGCAGCTGGAAGCACTTTCCTCCGGCACTGCGCGCCGCGTCTATTTAAACGCTAGCCGTTCTTCTTCTTCTTCCTTCGACACCGAATTACGAGAGCCGCTCTCCTGTTTCCCCGCTCGATCCTGAGGAATGCGAAGTTTATGAGCGCCCAGAGAAGAGCCGCGTTTCTCACGCACGCACACGCGCTTATTTTCGCGCTCTTTCCGCCTTCCTCGCCATCTCTCGCGGCGTTCATACGCGACTGAATCTCGAAGGCTAAAACGAACACACCGTTTGGAAACACCGTCGATCGCTCGTCAATCACTAATCGCGTCTCCTGTCTCGTTCCCGCTCGGAATGCAAATAGCGCTCGGTGACGCTGTTACGACACTCGACGATTGATGTCGCGAACAGATACGCCGAATTACGTTATTGATTTCTCAGCTCTTCTGCTGCTCTTTCTTCTTCATCCCTCTAATCGGACAGTCAAGTGCGAAGGAGTCGAGTGCACAACAAGTCTGCTCTTTCTCGCCGAAGTAGGTTGCCGAGTGAGACAAGCACGTCTCAGAGATGCAGAGAGAGCGTTGAAGGAACAAGACACCAACAACAAGTTCCAGTGCAGCGCTAGTTGCTGCACCGAAAAGAACGAGCCTGATAATACGATATCTATAATCACATAATTCCGTGATATTTCATTTAGATACGACTGCCGTCTTCGTCACGTCAGAGCGCCGTGCTAGTTGCATCAGCCCGACGTTAAATTCCATATGACGAATGAATTTTCAGTTGAGCTTTTCCACGTCATCACGCGAACCGTCGATCCTCCTCTCGAGGCTCTCGAAGTTCCTCTTTGTCCGCTACCTGGCGTTCCAATCCAGGATACCTGGCCATCGAGTCGATCCGACGCCGCTCCGGACAAGGCCACGCGGTCGCACGCGGTGCATCGTACGCGCTCGGTGCGTGCGTACCCGGTGCAACTGCACTCGGCGTAACACTTGGACCGTGAAAGGAGAGTGTGTGCGCGCTCTCACCGCACCCGCTGATGGAACAAAGGGCCGCGGCGGCCCTCAGCTCAGCCTTGCTTCGCACGTTTTACTTGTAGATTGTTATCTACGCTGATCTACTTTGCATGACGATGTTGACGATTATGTAAACGGAGACACCCTTGTTTGAGAACGGGGAGAAGCGCAGACGTACGATATGTATTATCCGCGCGAGGAGGGAGCGATGAGTCACCTGTAACGTGAGATTCTACGCAATGCTGCGAAAGTCTCGTATTCGCCAGATAAGCTGGATTTTGAGACCCCGTTAGTTGGATCGCGCGTCGATTTGGACGGCGTAAAATGATTGCTGCGTAGCTCCACCAGCGGAAATAACGGCGCTCTCTGAAGCGTCATTAATAATTATTCATCGGCTCCTTTCTCATTTACGCGCGGTGTTATCTGCGCGATTAGTATTATCAGATGAGAGGCGAAACGATCCGGCAGTCGTCCGGTGCAGTCGCGGGCTCGAACCGTGAAAGCGCGAAAGGAATACGCGCGCACCAGACGCAAACCTCGAGACGACGAAACTAGTTTTCAATCGCGATGTTCTTTCACCGAAGTTTGATCGGGGATCAAAAGGCGCATTTATAACGCGAATTTATCGACCAATGTTACGCGGCACGTGGATTTTATAATACGCGCGGTGGGACTCTGCCGCATCGAGAGGAGGAGAGGAAGGTGACTTTAACGGCGATTTTGTTAGAGCAATATTCCTCATCATGCGTTATTGAAGTCAGAGGAATAATAAAAAGTTTTACCGCGTGACACGCGTCGAAGGAGCATCCTCGAGAGGTAAAAAGCAATTTTCTCTTGAATTGCTCATCGTGCAAAACACGGGCGATAAATCAATATCTAGCGCATATCTACGTAGCATGACGCGGCATGCGTGTGATAATTCTTTGTTCATATAAACTCACACATGTTGATAAGTTAATATCATTCTATTGCTTGTGTGTGTTTCGCTCGAATTATTGCTTTAGAATTATGTTTCCTCTCTCAAGTAATGCCTCTGAAGAAACAAAATGCATCATACCGAAAGCGGTCGAGCAAAGTAAACAATACTAGAGGAAACGTAAGAAGCCGCAACCGGTGACTACCCGACGCGCATAAATCTTATAGAGACACATCTGCTCGTTTTATTTTATATTTTAGTCGTATTTTATCTTGTTTTAGTTTGCATCCTTCCGCTGCAGGATATCCGCATACCTTTTCACGCTGGCTCCGCTGTGCTGGAAAATCGAGCGCGCACAACATTGTTCGCGCAAATAAAGAAACCGACATCCAAAGTCAGCGGGAACGAATACAATGGCGCGCATCTCGACAGACCAAAGTTTGTTACTTCTATCGTAAGATAGCGATAGTTCTTTATTTACACAATCCCCGTAGTCCCATACTGCAGTTGTGCGTTGTGCAGTCGGTTGCGATGATGCAGGCGCTTGTAACTTTCGCGCGTGCACGCACACACACATACGTGCAATGATTTTTAAATTAAATTCTATCTCGCTTACACGCGCGCATATGCACACATCGCTCGTTGCGTATCCCCGCCCTCTGAAATTAATCGGAGGACCGTTGCATTCGACTTGCGCGCGAGGAAGAAGATATCTGTGAAAACGTGACGAAATTTATCCCCTGTCATATTGGAACATGCACTTTAGTGCGCTCAATAATGCAGATGCGCTGTGCCTGAGTTTTAGCCCGTCTATTTAGCCAGCCGAGAACGGTGCAGCGCTTCTCGCGAGCGTATCGCTACATTGCACAAACGTGCAATCGTATTTACGTCGAAACTGCTAATGCGCGCGAGAAAAGAAACTTGTCAATTAACTCGACAAATGGTACCGGTACTGTTTCACTAGTTTGGTGAAAAATACAAATCAGACTTTTCTTCAACACTTGTAACACTTTGTAATACTTGACATTTTCTAATCAATTTCTAAATACACGAATGCAAATATTTTTTTTTTTTTCATTTGAATCGTGAGGTATGATTTCTAAGTTTATCAGGTGTCTTAGAGCGTAAATAATTTAAGTTTAATGTCTTGTACACCTTCTCTTATTTCCTTTCTCTCTCTCTCTCTCTTTCTCCCTCCCTCCTTCCCTCCTTCTCTTCTTTTTTCTATTTCTCTCTCGCTTTCTCTCTCGCTCTCTCTCTCTCGCTCTCTCTCTCTCTCTCTCTTTATATACACCCTGTATGTTGGCACTTTAATTTGGAGCAACGCGTGGCTTGCAGCGAGGCGACACACGCCACGACTAAAGCGCGCAGTTGCGATCTTGTGGCGTGCGAGCGAGACGGGGAATCCGTAGTGAGTGCGCGAAAGAAAGAACGCGAGATAGGGACGGAGATAGGAAGTCGCGATGTGGGAGAGTTGCGATGAACTTGACGTGGAACACTTGACTTCAACGTCGGTTGCGAAGATTGATTCGTATAAATACGAAATGTCTGAACCGGTGGAGCAGGGAAAGGTGAGCGTATCCTTTTTCATATGGTCGGGCGAGGTCCTGTAGGATGACTGGCCGATGCGATCGAGCCTGATCACGCTCACGATTGTACGAGATGACATTCTCCGAATGCACCCACCCACATGTATTCGTTGCATGTCAATGAAAATTTGATGCTCAATGAACACTCGTGACAACGTGGGAATAATGTTTAATCGTGCAAACGTAGCGCATATTGCGATTTGATCAAAGTGCATCATGTCCCGCGTTTTCTTTGTCGCACGGAGAGGTTAAGTTTCACTCAACTTCCATGTTTCATAACTGAATTTCAAGCGATTCGCTCGGTTTACGCGATTGTGAGAATAGCACGAGCGATTCCCGCTCGTCGTGTCAATATAATTCGCCTTTGACATTTCGTGATCTTTTATTTATAAATAGTGTACCCTCTATTGGCTGATGATTATCGGTTATTATGTTTTATTGCTGCAAGCTATGTCATTGTATTGCATGTCTGAGCAACTTGCATTGATGCATTGTCATAGATGTCATCGTTACAAGTATGTGCTGAAGGTTTCGCAATAGATCTAACTTATCAATTTTTGTGGACAGGATCTCTGTATTCATACGGCTGTTGTACTTCGTGGAGCAAATACACGAGAAGATGTTCATAGTTCAGGCACACTTAACATTGTGGAATATGTAATATACTTGTATTATTTTGGCCAGTATTATATGTCACTGTATAGAGAGTATTGATTAAGAGACTTAATTTTTTCATATTGCAGAGTTTTGGTAAATGTATAGAATGGAAACCTGTTGAAGATTCTGTAGTATCAGAATATCAAGATCAGGATCCAGAATGGTCTTTAGTGGATACACATACTAGAAGAACCCGTACATCTTCAGAGGGTGCAGACTCTTTAGGACGTACAAGGAATGTTAGAATATTATTCTCTGATCTAAAGTCGTTTCGTGTGAATCATAGTGGACAACAACTCATTCTCATGCAGAGGGATGGTACTACCTACGTTGCCTTCTTTCAGCTATCTAATGCTGAAAGTTTTATCAACTCGCTAAAAGGTTTCATCAAATTTGTAAAATCACGCATGGATAGGAACTTGTATCTTGTTATGGACCAAGTTGAATCTGTATTAAATAAATCTTTTGCTGAGTTGGATCTATTTCAAGAAAACACTTCTGATTATGTGTGGAAGTTCGTAAAGAACCTGCATAATCGTCCGTACGAAACAACAATGGAAGCATTCAGCAAACTCGCAGATATCTGGTGTAAGTGGATTCATAACCAAGGATTAATACATTGTATGTCATCACAGCAAATCATCACATTTATAGTATAATATAAGATTGATAACTTTTTATGTATAACTTTACAGTGTATAAGGAACCAGTAAAACGACCTGTTGAGGAAGCAGTCGCCGACTTGTTAAATCGTTCCCTCACAATCGACTCTCAACCTCCTATATCTGTATCTGTTGGATCCGGAGATGAATACGAAGTGATTGGTGTTGGAACAGATTTACCTCCGCGACCACCATGTCCACGTGGTAATGTATTAATTTAAATTACCAATTCTTATAAGATATAGACCAATTGAAAAAGAAAAATCAATTAGAGCACGAGAATTTTCTTGACATAATGATTCATGATTATTATAATTAGGTGCACCATTGACACTGGAGCAGTGGGAGAAGTCCAAAGACTCGGAAGGAAGAATCACTAATCCAGAGGCTGTCAAGGAAATAATTTTTCGTGGGGTATATATTTAAACATATCTTGCTGGTGATGTTAGTGTTTTGAACAAAGCAGAACACATAATTTTACGATACGTTTTTATCGATCCACTAGGGTATTTCTCCATCATTACGATTTGAAGTGTGGAAATTCTTATTGAATTATTATCCATGGAACTCGACGAATAAAGAAAGAGCATATCTACAAAATGAAAAGACTGACGAATATTTTAGGATGAAATTACAGTGGCGTTCATTTACACCAGAGCAAGAAAATCGATTTTCTGATTACAAAGAACGAAAAAGTCTGATAGGTAGTAAATAAAATATCTAAGTTACTGTTTTTATAACTTTATGTTCTGAATCGAAGATTATACATAAGTTTATTTTTATTTTTTCCAGAAAAAGATGTTAACAGAACAGACAGAACACATCCTTATTATGCTGGTGATAATAATCCTCATTTGGAACAATTAACACATATACTCATGACTTATGTAATGTACAATTTTGATTTAGGATACGTTCAAGGTATGAGCGATCTCCTTAGTCCTATCTTGTTTCTAATGGATAGTGAAGTCGATGCATTTTGGTGTTTTGTTGGATTCATGGATAAACTGGTAAGCCTAATGTTTCTTTTAATCTAATGATATAATATCAATGCTTGAAATTATGTGACTCTTTTACTATTTTAAAACAGAGCTCCAACTTTGACATAGATCAAGCCGGAATGAAAGCACAATTGTGTCAATTGTATACCTTACTATGTACCACAGAGCCACAATTGGCTTATTATCTAAATAGACATGATTCTGGAAATATGTTCTTTTGCTTTCGATGGTTGTTGGTACTCTTCAAGAGAGAATTTAATGCGATCGATATAATGAAATTATGGGAAATATTGTGGACGGATCTACCCTGCAAAAACTTTCACTTGCTCTTCTGCGCAGCCATTTTGGATACGGAGAAGAATATTTTAATAGAAAACAATTACGGATTTACGGAAATTTTGAAGGTAAATTCAAAAGCTTTTTATTTCGTTATAATTATAAATGATGATTGTTTGCCAAAGTCTATTATAGCATACAATGCTATTGTTCACAGCATATAAACGATTTATCACTTCACATTGAGCTGCCTTGGACCCTCTCTAAAGCAGAAGGTATTTATTATCAACTTATGGGCGCAGCGGATCAACTCCCTGATAGCGTTCGTGCAATTATCGGACTGGAGCGGCTGCATAAAACGTTAATAAATAATAGCATAAACGGTGGCGAAGCATCTGGTAATAATTCTCAGTCTGGAACAATTACTAACGGGTCAAGGAGAAATAGTTCAACAAGTGGTAGTGTTAAATTAGGAGAAAATGAAGTGTCGTTTGAGCGTGGGTTAGATTTGTCGTACATGTGAGGTCAGGACTGGTCTTTTATAGTGATTCACTGACAGAAAAGTGATTAAAAGTCCACTCGACTTGAGAATCAAATGTCCGTTGCAATATTTGTCTGAGAAGGTCTTATACATTACCACTTTGGAAATATTGTTGATATGACAATAATTTCCATGCGGTTTTCAACGAAATTCAGTTCGTTAATCTTTCATGGAGTAAAGACATGTGCAAGCAGCAAGAAAAAGAAAAGGTAAAAAGCACGTTCCTACACACAGATGTATCGATCAGATTTGTTTTTATTTAAATAGTAAATTAAGTACTTTCTTTCTTATTTAAATGTTGTCATTGACTGTTGAGCCTGAAATTCTAAAGCGTAAATTATGTGAACGTGACGTTTACCTCGTGTTTACGAATATAGTACGCAAAGTAACTAATAGTAGTGTTGAATTTTGAGATATTTATAACATGAGAGAAAGGGATTATGCAGAACGTGCGTACGTGCGAGAAACAAGGTATTTCAGCGTAAGAAAGGAACTTTGTCACGACATCTAATGCGCGATTTTCAGATGCGAAAAACGGAACAGAGATATAATAACATCTCCAGACTTCGATAAGTGTTATATATATATATATATATATATGTATGTATGTATATATATATAGATATATATATACGCGTGATTCTCAATTAAGTTAGAGCCTCTTTTTTAGATTTATATAAAGCCTCATGACACGTCACTGTATATTTCTAATAAAGATCACGTATTTAATCTTTCATATATTTTTGCTGAGCAGTTTCCTCATTTCTGTTTGACCGTTCCGCATTTCGCTCTGTTCAAACCTTTATTTCCCAATAATATGATTCATCCTCGGATTAAAAAAAGCTTTTATTTCTCGTTGGTAAATAGAGATGCGAAAGTTTGTTCGACTCGTCATTCGGTTGTACTACCGAAAAATAAAAACACCCCGATACGTAGTTCAGTTGTATCAGTTGCAAATAAAAGATTTTTTGATTCTTTGAGTCATATTGTTTGGAAATAAACAGATTATCCGATTTTGTAAGATATGTTTACAATCATTTTACGATATTTTTTTTATTACAAGAGAAATGCACAAAACTTATATTCAACACTCCCTGCTATTTCATACATTTTTTCAATGAACTGGAATAGAAGAAAAGTAACGTTCGAAGAGAAATATATGCACACAGTTGTATACACAAGTTCATTGAAATTACAATGATTTATTTATTCGTATATTAGAGAATGCGCAGTTTAAAGTACACAAAAGAAAGGGATTATACAGAACGTGCGTAGAAACGAGGTATTTCAGTGTAAGGAAGGAACTTGTCACGACATCTAATGCGCGATTTTCAGATGCGAGAAACGGAACAGAGATATAATGACATACTCGAAAATAGTTGATATTTAAAATGTTAAAATAAATGATGCTATTAAAACGATGCAATCGTTTACGATTACACTGATTGTATTGCAGCTTCTTAAACGATCGTTCAAAAAGTCGCGGTAAAAACTTCTGACGTCACGCAATTGTACGAACCGCGGCAGTTTCGCGTCGGTTCGAGAACACTCGAGTACGGTCGTATCGCTCCGTATTCGAGGCGTTATTTTAACGGTCAAAAGCGAATTTTGCGTACGAACGGGTGTCAGGAGTACCGAGTCAAGTGCGGGCGATCGTTTCAGTGTATTATTCGGTTCGTACGAGATCGATTAAACGCGATATCGTATGATGCTCGTAACCGACTTCTATCGTGTCGCGTCGTGTCGGGAACGTGAAGTCGGACAAGCAAGACAGAATCCATATATTCCTTTTTGCCGCAAAAAAGGTAATTCGACATTCGGCGCCTATTCAATACTTTGGCAGGCTTACTTTCTTTGCCCGTATTAAGCCGGAATTTGTCCTTATCACGGGCAAATTACTGTAAAAGACGCTTGGATTGCGTTAACAAAATGGCGCCTAAAAACGGTTACAGTGCTTGAAACCGATAGCAGGCATTGACATTATCGACGCTTCGTAATCGACGAGTATCATGGGTAGTGACTTACCAACGTTCGTACGAGAAAAACACAAACAACGATGGTGTGTGCTCGTGCGAGGTAAACATTAGATCGTTGGATCCAAGCAGAACGCGAATAGTGTCCTAGCAGGTATGGACTTCATACCTGCGAGACAGAACAAAAAGTGGAAGAGAAAGCAAAGACAGTGGCAGAAGAAACGCCAACGCGACAAGGTTAGAATCGAGGTTCAGGTCAAAGCTACAAAACAACAGAAGATTGTTCACAGGCATGCTAATAGATTTAATATACGAGGAATGTCAATGACAAGTACGATGCAAGCGGACGCTTTCTGGAAGAATTATACAGCAGCTCAGGAATGGCAAGTACGGTAAGATTGTTAAATGAACATATTATTCTATGTTTCTCTTTATTATAATCCTTGTCACCGGGCTTACCTTTCCCACCTTTACCTTTAATAAAAATAAATTTATAAGAATAAATATTAGCCTATCACGGAAAGATAATAATTGTTTCCAGGCACAATGTAACCTGGTGGAGATCACGTTGCATGGCCCTTGAACATGAAAATGAGGTGCTACGCAATGAAATAAGATCATTGGTTAACCAATTCCGTTATCCTGATACTGCGACAGCTGAAGCAAATTATCACAAAGAAGATATCAATAACCAGGAGGAATTATTATATGATGAAGATGACGAAGAGCTTGAATTTACTGTCACTGAAGATATGCTGAACTTTTTTGAAAAAAGTGAGAGACATAGAAGACAGTTGAAAAAAAAACATGAGTCTAATAAAGCTGTGTACACCGAAGAAGAAAACTTAGTAGATCTCATTGGTGGTGCTGCAAGTGCTCGTGCAAGGAGAGAAGATGCCAATGAATTATATGGTGATGCAAGCTCCAAAATATTAGCGATGGAGACTGCTCTACAGGCTACGTTGGACAATTATAAAGATAAAGTAAATCCTCATTTTTGGCCCAATATTCCACTTAAACCTTAGGTTAGTTAATTTAACCTCATTTTGTCTCGTGGCTAGATTTTTGATGTACTTGAACGTATTTCGGAAATATACACCATTTTGTCATACAAATCAAAATAATATTAATATTATTGTGAAAGAAGTAATTAATTACATCCTAGTGCATCCTTGCTCATCCTATTGCATCCTATCGTTGGTCCATCATTCCTCCGTTAGGGCAACTGGATGACCGAGAGATGGCGCTACTTTGATGTTTACACATCTCTCATATGCACATATGGGTACACAAGAAATACGTTCTTGTGCACGCTCATGTAACGAAGATAAACAGTTGTAAACAATACGAATATTTCCTTCTCAGCTCTTCCATGAGATCACAATTCCTTATTAATGTTATCCTCGTTACATATTCCCGAGATAAACAGTCAACGAGCCAAATAACCCAAAATGACTTTCGGCAAATGTTTGCAACCATAAATTAAGCTTGACCAAAGGAAAGCTCGAGAAGAAAACAAACGTTTATCGAAAAACGAGCGAAAGTAACATCACTTTCGCGATTGATGTTTTTCCGATAGAGTTGTACGATTGGAGTCTCGACTGAAAAGCTCCGCTCGAATCGTCCTTGCGAAATCGGACTTGCACGCAACTCGTAAAGCTCGGTTAAATCGTCGCGCGTATACACTAAAGAGGCAGAGACCCCTGAGAGATGCGCAAGACCCAATCGCGCCAGAGGCAATATCAAGTTGTTTCTGTTGTCGGGTCGTGCGGCAACGGTGCGGCCATAAATGACACCTATCATATGAAATACACCGGGGGAAGCAATTAATAGCTAATCTAAACGACGGGGCAATTACGTTCACATATTATTATTACTCGGATCGGAAATAATCGATCGGCAGCGCGTCGTGCCTGAAAAATGATATTGCCGCTGCGATGCGGTGGCACGAAGTCTGCATATACACACACACACACACACACACACACACACACACACACACACACACACACACACACACATAGGCATATACGGAGGACGCGCGCGCGCGCGTGCTACGAACGGGATGCGTCGAAAGAAAAAAAAGATAGGAAAGGCGAGGAAGCGCGCGACGTGAAGAGGCGTTCGCGAAAAGTTTTACTAACTAACACGCGGCACGGAGTGTAATATAAAGATGAAAACTTTAGCACCTGTTCGCTTTTATGAATTTTATTGTGTATACACGCAAAGTGCACTGTTTTAATATTTTCTCAATATCGTCGGTAGAAGTGCTGACGGCGCACGGGAGGCAGAAAATGCATATTTTATGAATATCTCGCGTACTTATGTAAACCACTTAGCAATCCGGTTACCGCGAAGAGACGCGAAGAGACGTCGAGACATTTATGGCGATAAGTAATAACAGCAATTTTGCAGTCGAAGACCTTGCCGACGCGTCGGATCGCGGAAGATCTTCCGAAATTGAGAATCGATCTGCAGATATTCTCGTCGCATTAGCATCGCATTCCCGGCGAATTCCCGCCGATCGCCGTTTCGCCTGTAGAATCGCTCGTGCTGAACGTGCCTCCCCGTAACTTAATTATCGCGCATTGTGTTTGTGCCTTTGGTGCAACACGCATAGATCTACCGCGTGTGCTACCGACGAGAGGCAGCCGCGCTTTACTCACCCACGGTGTACGCGCACCGAGACCGTGACTTCTCCCGCGCGTGGATAACGCGCGGGCGACCATTAGTTGACATTAGGTATGCGCGGTCGCAAGACCTCCCTTTGTCGTCGATTGAACATACCGTCGTTAGAATGTCGACTTGCGTTTCCTGGGAAAACGAGAGGGCGAGCAGCCAAGCCGAGCGAGAACGCCTGCACGAAAGTAGACCGTGTCGAGGCGCATGCCTGATGATAAGCGAATGCGAGCGCCGTGAGACAACGATATATAACAATAATTTTATTGAATGCAACAAGTAAGACAAGAGAAAAGAAACTACCTCGTCGGCTACACGTATGAAGTATTTGCACACAAACGACTAGGACGCCGCGCAACTAGGCCCAATTCGATATGAGACACGCGTGCTAGGGACACGCACGTATGAACATACGAGTGCACAAGCGTATAACGTGACACGCGACATAAGAGCTAAGAGATCTTGAATAAAGATAAAAGGGAGAATGTAGTTTCGGTGGGAGGGGGAAGGTAAAGTAAGGTGGGAAGTAATAAGGAGGGCGACGGCGAATCGGACGGAAAAGAGGCCAGATGGTAAAAACGGACAGAGAATTAACAAATATAAATCGCGTCCCCATTACTTCACATTTTATATTTTTATTTTTGTTTATTATTTTCTCTCGCGCTGCAAGTGACCATCAGTGATTTCATTTCTGTTTATTCTTGTTGAATCACTGAGCCAAATTTAAAATTTTATCAATGGCACCGCATTATAATTATGTAATACACAGCTGCACAGATTTTTCCCTTACAGCTGTCCTTCATTTCTTCATTTTTCCTAAGTCTTCAGATTTCGATCGATCGAAATTTGTGTTCGACAGAAATTGTAGAATTAATGCAGGACCAACATTTTTCGACTCGGAGGTACAAAAATACATACATAGCTTATATTCCGCGAGGATCTCGCGCGCGGCGTTTCTATCGAGTCATTCTCGATATCGAGTTGTTGCGACCGAGAGAACTCCCGAGCGTGAACAACGCGTTTCGATAATGGGGGACGCAGTACCGTTGAATGATTCGGGAAAATAGGATGACAACACCGCGATGTATCGGAGCGATAGATCGGGCCGGAGCGCGGGGGAGTCCGGTCGAATCGTCAGTGCGTTATCTTCGGACAAAAACCGCCGACAAGAGCCGTAGGATTCTCAAACCAGTTCGTGGGACTCCAACATCGATACCTCCACCCAGAGAAAGCCCTTAATTATCGAAATAACGCGTGTCGCAGTGTCGATACTGCCTAAGTGTCGGACCGTGCTCTATCTTCTCCCACAATCCCACGGAATATCCGAGCGTTTCCTCCTCTCGGATCTAAATTATTCCCTCCTCTCGGACCGAAACTCCGTATCTCGTCCGAAGACAAATGTGGACATCAGGGAAATTAAGGTCGTCTACATTGTTTATCTCAGATAGGACCGAGTTTATCCCGTAATTGAGACATTCGTGAGAGGAGTTGGAACGAGTTGCCTTGATGAGTTACCAAGGAAAAAATTAACAATCACCGTTTTAACGATTTCACGTCGACCACTGGTATGCCGTGTTTATCGCATCCGTAAACGCGTACGGTAATATACACGCGCGATATGGCTGGCTCGGTGTCCGCGGTGCCTGCGCAGAATTTATTTGATTTTTATTCGACGAGCTACGACTTATGAATGGCAAGTTTCCAATCAGCGTATAGAATACGTAATATGCAAAACGCTCTTCTTCTCGCTTTTTTTCCCCCACTTAAAACCGGTCGATCCTACGCAAAGTAGGTGCACTCGCAGGAGGCTCACTTTATATTCCCCTACAACTTTCATTTAGATCCTTATCGATCGACTTTCTCAATGTGCTCACGTGTTGCACTTCATTGCCTCGCCTTCCGACGTCCACTCGCGGACTTTCGCGCACAAGTACAATATCGAGGGCTCGTACATTAAATTTGCTTTTCGTCTCGTTACACGAACGGATATCATTACGGAGCTTTCACAAATCGCTATAAATATCAATTAATCGCTAACGAACTTTATTGTATCACCGCGTCGTGCATGTGACTTGCTGAAAGCTCGTAAGATTCGCCATTGACAGGACGTCGAGCGTTGGAAAGTCGGGAATTAATAACATTATATAAAGAACGAACGACGGGGGAAATGTTAACTCGGAAATACACACACGCGCATACGATTTTAACACTCTTGCGCGTTCTACTCTCCCTCCGCGCGCCATCAGTCATCATTTATGAATAAGCGTCTTCGCGAAACCGCATTTTTATTACGTTAATGCACCTTTTCACTGTCCTCGTGTGCCTCCTTCTTGCTTCTCGCTAAACGTCGCACAGAGGCAAAGATTGCAAACTTGATATTCCTGAGTGCACACTTTCGTAGAGTTACAGGCTCCGGTAGTAATTTGTCTTTAATTACGCGAATCCTCATTTCGCGACCGAGAGACACGCTCTCCGGACGACATGCGAGCGCAAAAAGGGAGAGAAAAAGATACAGCGGGGCACTCGTTTCAGCGGAGTGCTCGGGATCTCTCACCCCGGGCCTCGTCAATTCCCAGAGGTCGCACACGACTCTGAGTTCCTTTTTTCCGCGCACAATTTCGTCCTCCTCTGTCCGCGACTGCCGCATCGGCCGCCGTCACCGCCGCCGCCGCCGCCGCCGCCGCCGCCGCCGCTGCCGAGCCGCATCGCGCCCCAGAATCGTCCTACCGTGCATTTGCAGTCTCATTGGGACGTTTTAAGGCCCACCTTTCGTGCAAGATGGCGCCGCCGTGGACGAGGAGGAAAAAGAATCGTGGCCCGGCCAAGAGCGAAGAGGGAGTGCGCTTGCTTTTTATCGCGTCCGTGTCATTAGCGGCTGCAATGAGTCCTATAAGTTCGTATCGGGAACCTGGGGAAGAAGGAGAAGGAGAGAGAGAGAGAGAGAGAGAGGGGGAAAGGGGGAGAGAGAAAGAGAGAGAGAGAGAGAGAGAGAGAGACATATAGAGTCCACGCGCGAGTCGTCCACGAGAGGACTCGACGTGGACGAGAGGAGACGTCGTGGAGGCACCTACGACCGCTCGCCTTATTAGGCCTCTACCTCCCTCCCGCCCTTTCTGGGCTCAGCGTCGCCGTTTGCCACCCTCTTCCCCTCCCTGCAGCTCTTAAAATCATGGCTGCATGTAACCGTCTACTGATTATATGGATTCGGCGATGATTTCTGATGATGCCCCCGACCCCCGAAATGGTAAAATAATACAGTGTCGTGTCCTAGCCCGGACCCTTTGGGTTCCGTGGGCCGGTTCGTTAGCGGGGCCTTGGCGCGAGGCACCCTGTCATTATGCGGCTGGTCTCCATCACCCCCACCAGTACCCAATTTTCGGCGCCCCTCCACGGCGCGACTCGACAAATCCCCCTGCTCCGCAGCCCTCCTTTATTTCTCCACATCGTGCTCTCCTCTCATCTCATCTCTCCTCTCCTCTTCTCTCCTCTCCTCTCCTCTCCTCTCTTCTCCTCTCCTCTCCTCTCCTCTCTTCGGCAGGGCGATCTTCCACGGCGCTACTATTCTACGCCGCCGCGCGGCTGCAACGTCCCTGGTGTGCGGTGCGGCCCGTCGCGTGAATCGTCGTGAGAAAGTATTCCGACTTCTCTCTTTCTCTCCCTCTCCCCCTTTCTCTTCTTGTACGTCCGCGCTTTTCACCGCACGACGATGCACCCGCCGAACAGGCGTGTTACGTGTCCACGGTTGTTAACTCTTTTCAGAACGGAATAGAAAGGGATCTTTAAAATGTCACGGAACTTTGATATTTGCAAGTAGCTTTCAGACGTAAAGTCGGAAAGGATCTTCGAAAAAGGTTGCGGGGGCGAGAGAGAACAAGGAAGCGAGGCGAGAACGCCTACGATCATCGCGCGATATCGATACAGTCGGTAGCTCGGGATCGAGCCGACATCCCCTATTTCCTCGCCTCCAAATAGCGTTTTTACGAAATTCGAGCGAGTCTCACGCCTGCGAAACACTAGAGGCAGTCACGACTACTGGCGGATATTCGAAACTCGTAACTCGATCGCCTGGCAACGTCGTCGTCGTCGTCGTCGTGCCCACGCTCGCGGAGCAACACTCGTATTCTAATCCCCCACTTGCGCGCGTACCCGCGACTTTGCAAAAGTTCCGTTTCTTCAGAGCGGTCCTAATCCCGCGATGAAATTGCGAGCTGCAAGTCATATCGAGCTTACTCGTCGGAATAAGCGGTTTGCTCTCGCAGCTAATCTTCTCGCGCGTGAAATCGTTCGCGTGCAGAATAGGATAGAAATTTGAATCGTTTGTGTAACATTATATATTTCGCGTAATCACGACATTTTCTCTGGCCGCGCGCGGTGCATCTGTCCTATTCGCTCACTCGAGGGTGGCTGCTCCCGAAATGTTCCTTCCGTCGCCTTCGCGTCGCTTCTTCGCGGCGGAAGGATAGAGACCCCCGCTGTCGCTAATCTCCGGCGGAAGTGGATCGACGAAACCGCGACTTCCAATCCGTATTTTTCTAAAAGCGGTCCGGCACCCTTAGGATGCTCCGTCCTTGGGCCTCTCCGCGGGTGTAGGTGGTCCCGGTACGACCGGCAATCATTTCGCTTAATGACGAGAGCACGGTCCTTTCCTTTCTTCGGTCTCAGATTATCGCCGCGTGTTTCTTCTCTTATATCCACGGACCACTTCGGTGCCTCCTTCTTCTTCTTCTTCTTCTTCTTCTTCTTCTTCTTCTTCTTCTTCTTCTTCTTCTTTTCCTTCTTCTTCGCGTCTTCTTCTCGGCCTCTGCCCCCGCTACCACCTTTTATCCCCGAACTCTGTAATTTTCCTCTAGCGACCATGCCACCACGTCGCGCCGAAATTGGTGTACGTTGGAACGATTTCGTGGAAATGTGCGTCGTCGTGAAGGGGCGGGGGGAGAGGAGGGGAGGAGAGGAAGGAGATCAGACACGGGACGACAGTGACGGTGGCACTTCCATCGCGAACTCGTCCCCAAAAGAGGACGGAGAGGAAGACGAAGGAGAGAGGAAGAGAAGATTAGGCGAAAACGCAAAGACGAACGGGGCCAAAGGAGAACGGCGAGAATTAGGAGAGGAAAGGTAATAAAAGCAGAGAAGAAGGAGAGCGCGAAAGAGGAAGTCTCGTTTCGAGAACAGAACGCGTTTGATGAGGAATCGTTCGCCAGTACCGAATACTTCTCGGCGGCCTTCCTTTTGCAGGTGCGCCGATCTCTCGGTGGCGGTGCCGTAGGGGCGCAGGCAAGCGTGACAACACGCAACATTTCTTTCTATCATGCCAAAAATCATATACATCGGCCGCGCAGATGGAAGTCATTATTATTACAAAGAAGCGTTTTTGCTGCCGGCCGTCTGTCGATGCCCGGCCCGGGCCACTGTCTCTGGATAACGCGAAGATACGCTGACGACTTACCGAGAAGCTGTCTCTCTTTGCCGCGGATCGAGCCGCGCGCGACGCGAAATTGGCGCAAGCCGAAACTTCTCTCGGCCGCACATTCCCACGTCATTAAAAACTAACTACGTACACCAAACTCGAATCACGCTCGCCGTCCTCACGGAATTAGCGCACGACAGGCACGAAGCGCGTCGCGATGCGAGAATCGCGCATTATTCCTCGGCGCCGTGACTTCCGCACAAGAGGCTTAATTTCCCGGAAAATATTCGCGTGTCGTCGCGTGCGACGTCTCCGTTTTCATCGTCGTTGTCGTCGTCGTCGTCGTCGTCGTCGTCGTCGTCGTCGTTGTCGTCGTTGTCGTGTTACGCGTATACCGGACCCGCGTGTTGTTTGTGTGCGACTTTGCTTCTCTCGCTCCGCTTCCAGCACCTGCGAGAAAAGCCGGGCGGTGCGCCCGTTGGCCGAGCAAACAATACGAACGATGATGCACCGTCCCGAGCGCATTGTCCGCGGCGAGTAGTAGTAGGCGGCGGATTTATCTGCCTACTCGTAGAGTCAGGTAGAGGAGAGAGAGAGAGAGAGACAGAGAGAGAGAGAGAGAGAGAGAGAAAGACAGAGAGAGAGAGAGAGAGAGAGAAATAGGGAGGAAAGGAGGGGGGAGGGGAGAGAGAGAGAGAGAGAGAGAGAGAGAGAGAGAGAGAGAGAGAGAGAGAGAGAGACAGCGAGCGACCGAGTGAGTGAGTGAGTCCAGGGGTCCTCGACCTCCGGGAGACACGTCGCCGTCGCCGCGCGGTCGGCTGGCTGCCGCCGTCGGAACCGATGGATCTTCCTTTCGTTCCGGGCTGATTTTGCGCGACCAGTGGCAGGACACGCGGCACGCGGTGATCTACCGCCGGTCCTCGATAACCTTGCGAAGTAACAAACCGCGCGCGCCGTGTGCGCGTTTCCTCGTCGCGCCGGGCCGAGCGTATTAGCGAATCGTCGTAATGACCGGTTGCATTCGCAAAGTAGGCGCGGGTAGACGCGTTTGCGATCCGATTCACGACGGTTGTACGGCCGTCGCTGATCCCGGCGATCATTGACTGTCGTAATTGTCACGGCGGATGTTTGACATTCGATCGGCTGCGTTGCGTGGCTGCGGAGTGGCTGCGAGCACGAGCCACTGTGCAGCAGAGTCGCGAAAAGGATGACAGTCGCCGGGATTACGGCGATATCTCGCGCCGTTTCGCGCGAGCGCTTATACTTTTTTTTATCGTCTTCTGATCGCGAAGTCGTCGAGGATGTGCCGCAACATTGTATCGAGGGGCGGATAGGCGCTTTAGGCGATCGGTTGGCCGTGATACCGAAGAAGGAAGTACTTGTGTGACATTGGATCGTCCGTGTACACATGTACAAGCGGTTAGTGCTTAATGGTAGAGAAGCGACACGTTAATTTGTAACATAAATATTATGATTTCCAGTTTTCTCTCGGCACAGACAGTGCGCGGCGTAATAATGGCGCGGATTATTAAACGGAAAATTTATCACCCGTGTGGAATCACTTGGGCCAGGGTACAAATTATCGCTCGTCTATGCGCGTACACGTTATACGCCCTGCGCGAGATATATCATCCGCGTTTGTGCGACAGGTTGAAATCTCCTCGGAGAGCCTGAAATCTTATATCGTCCGACGATATCTCTCGTACGTCCGACGTGCAGCAGACTTGGCTCTGGCCTTGGACTCGAGCCTGAGAACACAACGTCAAAATCGATATTGATATATATATACAATACACACACCACACACACACACACACACACACACACACACACACACACACACACACACACACACACACACATATATACAACGAAAAAGATGACCAAGCTTCGGTATCGTACTCTACTTTTCCTACGAATTAAAAAAGCTATAAACATAGGTGCGGAAACTTTTCCTTCCCGAGACATAAATACTTTTTTGTCTATGATAGATTGTATATAGATTGATATTGTAGAAATGTTTGTAGTTTAGTTGACACACTTTGCATCGTCGAGACATAAACATTTTGGTCGACAACGCATGCCGTAGTAAATCAGTTTGTATCTAAAACGTTTGTATCTAAACGTTTCACAGTTAAGATCGTATTATCAGAATGAGTTATTCTAACATCGAGTGGAGATACTCATTTTACGTATGGACGAGCCAACGAATTCCAGAAAAGCTCAGCGTCTCTACCGGCAGTCCTTTCCTCAGAGAGGAACATCCTGCTAAAAGTACATTTGCTTCGGTGTATTGTCGGCTTAAAGAAACTGGGTCTTGTATGTATAATATATATATATTGTATGTATAATATATATATAATATATATATATATATATATGCACATACACGCCGTGGAAAATACGTTTGGAAACGACTAAGTCATTATAATACACCATAAATGTCGCGTCGCCACGTAAGAATGTAAATTCACGTTTGAGATAAAAATCGCGCGTCGTTTGAAATTTAAAACCCGGGTCGTTAAGCATCGCACTATGACGATTCGAGCGATTTCGTGAGCTCCGTGACTCTTGATCTCGAATTTCAACGCACAGCCGCGACTCGTCTTCCCGCTCGGCCTGTAATTATTCGGTAACTCGCGCGTGTCACAATCGCACTTCCGCTGTCTCCCTGCCCTGAGCCCCGGCTCGCGTAGCACGCCTTTTTCTAGGTCGGCGACATAGTCCTGTGGCCGCTTTTCCCGTCACGTCGCGAGATTCCAGGACCTTTGGCACGGTCGCACAAGCGGCTCGTAGAGCCGAGCGCGGAATGAGCGCCGACGGTAAGTCAGTTGCTGGCATACCGAGCGCTCAGGTAGGTAGATAGGTAGGAAGACGACGGCGAAGGTGAAGAAGGAAAGGAAAGCGGGAGTGCGAGCGAGTCGGCATGCGAGCAGGCAGTCAGGCAGGCAGGCAGGCAGGCAGGCAGGCAAGCGAGCAGGCAGGCGAGCAGGCGAGCGAACAGGCAGGCAAGAGAGTATGGTATGGTCTAGCTGCTCGCTGCCGCGAAGCGCGTTGAATGCCGGGGCCCCGGTGTATCGGGGCCTGGTACCGCCGCCGTTCCCCTCTCCAAGATGGCCGCCGGTTGGGTCCAGCCAAGTCCCCCTGACCGAGCCAGGTAAGTCCGCCGAGTCAGGGGAAGGGTAGGCCTTGCAGGTGCCGCCATGTCAGTGCATGCCTAACCTCGAAGCCGCGCGGAACGGACGTTGGGCCCGAGAACGCGACATCTCGTGCTACCGCCGTGCTTTAAGGGGCTGCTGTTTAGGCCCCGTCGTAGTTCGCGCCTACGAATATCCGTCGTGGACTTGGAAACGTGGACCGATTCCGTACGTCGGTTAACACGGAGTCGAGCCGCGTAACGGTCCGGGAAGCGATACCGAGTGTTTTCTCTCTCTCTCTCCGGTCGAGAGGAACCAGCCGGAGACATCAACGCGTGGACGGAGAGAGAGAGTGCGAGAGCGAGAACGAGAGAGAGAGAGAGAGAGAGAGAGAGAGAACAAGAGAGAGAGAGAGAGAAGAGAGTTCGTCGGACGCACGGACAGCACGCTTTCGGCTGTGCCATCGCGCCGCGACGAGGAACGTACGTGAGTCTGCGAGACTCTGCAAAAGCGTGAACCGTAGACGCGGGTTGAGTTACGTCGTGTGCAAACGCGTGTTTCGTTTACGAGGTCGGGCAGAAGCGCGTTGCGTCTGAATTAGCGTCGGAATCAGCGCGTGTATCGGCGACGAGTGTGCGTTGACAGTTCGGAGCTGCTTTCCTGCGGTCGTCGTCCGCGACGACCCGTTGTCCCTCGGACAACTTGCATGAACCCCGCTGCGACAGGCTAAGGTCGCCTAATCATTCGTGTACTCTGCATTCAAGATTGATCGGCCAGTTGGAGCGTACAGAGGAGCGTACGGAGTCTCAGCTACGATGACAGCCACGACGTTGAGCCTGGAACGACGTTGTGGAGCGAATTAGGCGATCAAGAGAGAATCCGCGAGGTCCGCGACGTCGGGTCGCGTCGAGCACAGGGAACGTGTCCCAAGGACAGGCGCGCGAGGTGTCCGACGGGACGAGACATGGTCGTCAGCGTGTACGACGCGAGACGATCGCGCCGGGTTCGCGACCGGTCGTGCTGATCGGCCGGTTATCGGTCGTGGATCTAACGCGAGGAATGTGCCATATCTCGGCGTCGAGATATCCCAGTGACAGCGAGCGTAGCGAATAGCGCAAGGAGAGAGCTCTCATGTCAGCCGAGAAGCAGAGTGAGAGATAGGAGAGAGAATATATAGCAGAAGGATAAGAAGAGAGAGAAAAGGAAACGGAGCAACGCTCCGAGTGGAGTCGTCCGCTCTACGTTCGTCCGACGCTGGAATCTCCACGACGCTGGTATGCCTCCGAGGAGGTTGTAGCAGGGAACAGCAGCTCGCGCGGCCACGGAAGGTCGGCGATGTAGTGAAACAATCGCTCTGCGAGTCCTACGCGAACGTTGCTTCGTTGCTTCTCTCCGCGCGCGCGCGCGCGGGAGAGAGAAAGAGGGAGAGAGGTAGGGTGGTAATAACACGCGTGTGTACGCGGTTCGGGTGGAAGTGATACACAGTCGAGGGGAACCAAGGATAAAACCGAGTGTGATTGTGATTGATTGGTGGTGGTGCTAAAAAAAAATAAAAGAAAAGAAAAAAGGTGGGTGATCATCAAAAAGGTGCCGGTGGAACGCGACGGTCTCGTGGTTTTCGTTATTCGCGGACAACGGGAAGCTTTGACGGGAAGAAGGAGCACGCGCGTGGAGTCCGCGGAGAACTCGGTGCCGTGACCCGCGGCTCGCGGTGTGACAGCGGGAGATCGGCCGAGGAAACAGCGATAGACTACACTTGGGTGCCCGTCGTCGCTCTTTCTATCTCGGGTTCTCGCGACTGGCCGCGTAGGAATGGAAAGATCGAGATAATATCGCGAGAGACGGGAGAGGAGGGTGGAGAGGCCGCGGCGGTGTTGGAGGCCCCAGGATGTGGCATCTGCTACTGTTCCTCGTCCTGGGAGCGACCCTCGCCCCAGGCACGCGACCTGAGCGCGTGATATCCCTGGAGGTCTCCGAGAGTGCGCTGCCCGGCACCAGGATCGGCTACATCGACAGCGACTCCTTGCCGCTGTTGTTAATCGTGCCGATTCCCGGCTCGTCGGTGGAAGCCGACCTGGAGGTCATCAAGGAGACGGGCGAGTTGAAGACGAAGGGCCCGTTGGATCGCGAAACCCATCCATCGTACAGCCTGCTGGCGCTGCCGCAGAACATACAGATCGTCGTAAAGGTGCTCGACGAGAACGACAACGCGCCCACCTTTAGCGTGGATCACGTGGACGTGGAGTTCCCGGAGAACTCGCCGCGCGACTCCAAGCGGGCGCTACCGCCGGCACTGGACCCCGACCTCGACCTGTACACCACGCAGAGTTACGAGATCGCGTCGGGCAATCACGGCGACGTGTTCAGGCTGTCGCAGCATCGCGGCCGCGACGGTGTCCTCTACCTGGATCTCCAGAGTTCGGGCTCGCTGGACCGAGAAGCGCGTTCTCGCTACCATCTGGTGATCGAGGCGCTCGACGGCGGCACGCCGCCGCTTCGCTCGAGCCTCCGCGTGAACGTGACAGTGCAGGACGTCAACGACAACCCTCCCACCTTCAATCAGACGAGATACGTCGCGAGTGTGCCGGAAAACGCGACCGTCGGCACGGCGGTGCTGACGGTGAACGCGACCGACGCCGACGCCGGCGAGAACAGCCGCATCGAGTACTCCATCAATCGGCGGCAGTCCGACCGCGAGGAGATGTTCCGCATCGACGCGGAGACCGGTCTGGTCTACGTGAACAAAGTCCTCGACTTCGAGTCGAAGGAGCGGCACGAGCTGGTGATCGTCGCGCGCGACTGCGGCGCTCAGCCGTTGGAAGCGAGCGCTTTCCTATCCGTGCGCGTGACCGACGTCAATGACAACCAGCCGGCGATCACCGTCATCTTCCTGTCGGACGACGCGACTCCCAAGATCAGCGAGAGCGCGCAGCCCGGCGAGTTCGTCGCGCGGATATTCGTCAACGATCCCGACTCCAGGACGGAATACTCGAACGCGTCGGTCACTTTGGCCGGCGGTGAAGGCCACTTCGGTCTGACCACGCGGGACAATATCATATACCTGGTGGTGGTGGAGAGGCCGTTGGATCGCGAGGAGAAACCCGTGTACGAACTGTCGGTGGAGGCGACGGACACCGGCACGCCTCCTCTGAGGGCCGTGCGCACCTTCAGGCTGCTCGTCACCGATGTGAACGACAACGCGCCCAAGTTCGAGCAGGAGACGTACGAGGCTTACCTCCTGGAGGCGTCCGAGCCCGGCGTGTCGGTGCTGAAAGTGACCGCGACCGATCTCGACGAGGGCGCCAACTCGGCCGTCCGTTATTCCCTATTGAACACGTCGTGGTTCGCGATCGACGAAAAGACCGGACTCATCACCACGGTGACCCACGTGGACTGCGAGGCCGACCCGGCGCCGGTTCTCGTGGTGGTCGCCACGGATTCGGGAAGGCCGCCGCTCAGCAGCAGTGCTACCGTGTGCGTCACGATTCACGATCTCAACGACAACGAGCCGATCTTCGAGAGGCCGCTGTACAACGCCACCGTGCCGGAGAACCTGCCCGTCGGACGCTGCTTTCTCAAGGTAGGATTGCACAGTCACATCATTTCCTCCTCTTTCATTTGGCATTTCCGCCGCGCGAAAATGTCAGCGAGAGCGATTTTCGGCCGCGCGTTCCACTCGCTTGCATCGTTGCGACGTGATTGCCGTTGAATCGTGCGCGCACGTGTGTGTGTGTGTGTGTGTCTGTGTGTGTGTGTGTGTATATGTATATGTGATGTGCGCGAGGCAGGCGAATGACAATGAGAAACGCGAGTCATCCGAGATCCGAAAATCGCCTCGCGCCCTTGACGCTCGCGAACGCGATATGCTTTTCATCAGGCGCGGGCGTGACGCAGAAGGGCGCTGCAACGCGCGCTGCTGCTGCTGCTGCTGCTTCGCAACACTCGACGCGTCCGCGATGAAGTCGTATACATACGTAGCCAACGCTAACGGCAATTGTTTCGTCAGCCCGGTTGCGACCGCGCGACGCAAAAAACTCGCGAAATAGGTTCGCGGGCTGTTGTTGCAATTTTGCGAATTGCTTGTCACGCCGTTTGATATCTATATAACGCGCCGAGTATTTTCCACTCGTCCGGACGCTCGCAGTTCGCGCGTCGGGCCCGACGCCGTCATCTCCCTTAACAAGCGCGGTTCTGTCAGTGTCTCTCTCTCTCTCTCTCTCCCCCCTCTCTCCCCCCCTCTCTCTCTCTCTCTCTCTCTCTCTCTCTCTCTCTCTCTCTCTCGGTGTAATTGATATTTATATCCAGAGCGCTCGATTCGGCCAGCGCTCAAGTGTTCCATCTTAATTTGTTGAACCGTCGCCGTCGCCGTCGTCCGTCGCGTATTCGCGCGCGCGAGAAAGTGCGAGATTTGCAGAATCGATTGCGCAGGAGTCTCGCGCGGTGTGCGCCTCGTTCAACGGCGAGTGTTTACGACGTGAAATCAGGGTTTAATTGACGTGGCGCTTGCGAGAAGAAATCGCTAATCCTCGCTGCCGTTCGATCGGAGAAAATCCGTCATCGGCCTTTATACCGTGGCCCCTAATTGATCCGTCATCGGAATCGATTGCGCGAGAGACGTTTACCTGCCGGTCGCACGCACGCACGCGCGCGCGCGCTAGCTAGAGCTAGCTAGCTGGCTCGCTCGCTCGTTCGTTCGTTCGGTGTGAGCCTCTACAAATTAATATCTTAAATGTCGCGTCGGTGCGAGAATGACGGTACCCCGTGGATACTTCGCGTTTAACCCTTGCATAAGCCCCGTCGTTTCGCGTAAAGTCGCTAGGATCACATTAAAGGTTCCTCACGCAGCCCGGGCGAAAGGCCACGGAACGCTCGTAACCAGCCGAGCCGTCAGGCACGTACGTTACGCCGGGAAAGCCGTAATTGGTACTCGAGAGAATCTTATAAGAGAGCGAGAGAGCGAGAGAGCGAGAGAGAGAGCGAGAGAGAGAGAGAGCGAGAGAGAGAGAGAGAGAGAGGGAGGGAGGGAGAGAGGGGAAGACAGACGGAGAGGATAGATGGAGAGCGAGAGACGAGTGGGGTTTTCTTCGGCGTGTTTCAATTAGTACCGCGGGTATACCTGGGGAGCGTTATCGATCATCGTTTTTTATTCCGCGAAAAGGCCCGGCGTGCGCGCTCTCGCGCCGATGCGGTCGGGCCGGAGGTGGAATAAATCCGCGCGTTCATTTGCATGCGGCCCGCGCGTTCTCCGCGCGAGCGGTCCCCTCCCCCTCCCCACGCCCTGCGAGGGGAAGGAGGGAGAAATACGAGTAGGAGCACCGCGGCAGCGGCACGGTGCGACCTGAATGAGGAAAGTGTTGCGTACGCGTACCGGGACACACGTACGTACCGAACGGCGACATGAATCGCTCAGGGGCGTAGCGTCGCCGACCTGAGACTCTCTCGACTCGAGAGAAAGAGAGAGAGAGAGAGAGCGAGAGAGAGAGAGAGAGAGAGAGAGAGAGAAAGTCAGCAACTCGCGCGCCTTCTTTCGCGTCCCGACGACTTCCCCGTCTCTCACTTGGTCTTCTCTTGTCTTCTCTCTCGGCGTTGCCTCGACTCGCTTTGCCGCGCCGTACCGCGCGTATATATCGACCACGTGGCGCTCGCGGAGGGAATCCCGCTGACGTTCCCTCAGCGAGGCCGCCGTGGCTACGCGCCGAGACGCTCTTCCCCGGAGCGGTGTTAGAGCGCGAACAAGTTAGTCCCGACACCGATGGTGCTTTACGAGCCGACGCGTCGGTACATCCTGCCGAGTGCGAGCTTGGCACGCATTTGTACGTACGTCGCGCCGGCGAAGGCACGCGTGCGCGCGCGCGGATAACGACGATGGGCGGAATGCCCAAGGCGGAAATGAAGGACGACGGATCCCGGAAAGGATAAGATGCGCGGCTACGGCAGCGGCGGGTTCGTGAAATTTGAGATATCGCGACGCCTCGCAAAGACGATTACCGCGTGTACACCGGCTGTCGCGCGCGCGCCGTCACGAATGATCGTATTACGTTTGAGGTAATCGTCGAAAGTAACGTTACACCTCCGCGCGACTCGCGATATAACGCGCGCTCGTAATGAGGCGGAGTCGCGGCGCGAGCGAAATGAACAAGCGGTGCTAAATTCTTAACTCTTGGCTCTTCCCGCCGCTGAGAAAGCCGCTGAAAAGTGAAAGTCTGATGTAACGCCTCGATAATGGCTGAGGACTAATTCGTCGGAATCGACGCGCCGTGATTGCCGACGGTATCGCACCGGCCGTTAAGTCACCTCCCTTTCGTTGCCTTCCTCGATACGGTCGATGCGTTTCTCCACGCTATGACGAAGAGGGATCGCAGACGCTTCTGTCTCGTCTCGTATCCGGTACTCGCGCGTGTAGTCGGTAAGTTAGTTGGTTAAGTGTCGCCGCGCGTATCGGAGCGATCCGATAGATTCGTTTCGTCGTCGTCGCTCACGAGACGGGGAAATTCTCTGCGAACGCGCGTCCGTCCGTCATCATTCATAACACCGCGCGCGATCTGCGGGCTCCGTGAATTCCGCGGAGATCAAACGACGAGGATACGCGGCGGCTACGCGAGATGAAGGGGAAGAAGGAATCTCCTCCCTCTGTTCCTCTTCGTCCTTTTCTCCTCCCACATCCGCCTGTCCGTCTCACGCGCACTCGCTCGACCCTTTTTTGCCTCGCTGGATTGTCATCCGCGTGCGGCGCGAGGGTACGACGCACCGCCGAATGCCGATGGAAATTGCATTCGGGAATGAGCGAGTGCATTTTTCAATCGACCGACCAACGCATCCGGCGGGCCGGACGCGGACCGTGCGTGCGTGCGTGCGTGCGTGCGTGCGTGCGTGCGTGCGTGCGTGCGTGCGTGCGTGCGTGCGTACGTGCGTGCGTCGCAATGCAACCCGATGTTAATGGCTGCCGCCGGTACGATATATATTTTATTGGCGTTTCGCTGCCTAGTTCAATGATGATTTATAATTGTTGTCCGCTCGGCTGTAATTATTATAATTACAGATTTTTCGTCCGGGCTCTCTCGGAACTGGGCCCGAGCCCACTTTCTCTCTCTCTCTCTCTCTCTCTCTCTATCTCTCTTCGCTCCATCCCCTTCGACGCGGCTCCACCCCTTCGGTCCTTCGTCTCGGGCCTTCCTTTCCCCTTCGTGCGTTTCTCCCATTCTCGCCCTCTCTGTCTGTCCGCCGACCGCTCTCGCTTCCTCGTTCTCCATTTCGCTCGCCTTCGCGTCGCTCTCTCTCTCTCTCTCTCTCTCTCTCTCTCGTTCTTTCTCCTTCTACCTCCGCGAACAGAGACCAGATCTACGGCTGCTCCGCCGTAGGAACGGGTTTTGGAAGTCGGACTCGCGCGCGAGTCGAGTCCTCGCGCTCCTGCGCGAGACCTCTGTCTCTGCTCTCTCGTCTATGCCCTCGTCGATCGATGCTCTCGCCGTCGTTTAGCGCTGCGCGCTCCGCTCGTCCGATTCGACCGGCAGTCGCAGCTGCCTCGGTCGTCCGGACGTTCGCGATTGCGAACTCTTAACGAACCGTGCTTCCTTTCGAATAGCGATTTTTGCAACGTCCCCTCGTGATCGGACGAATATTACGTCGATAGGATGTGGCGTGTCCATTTCTGCGCGACGTCTATCGCAATGCCGATCGGTGCGATATCCGGTGCGATCGCTACCGCACTTTGTTAGGCTCGCTCGTGGGACGATCAGCCTACTCACGCGCTCGTTTCGCTTCGACCTTAGCTCAATTGGAGCGCGAAATTTCGCGACAGCGCTCGCGATTCCGCACACTTGACGAATCGCGCAGCCGCGCCGCGACGGAGCGAGCGGCTAGCGCGCGCATTAACATCGCCTAATGATCGCGATTGATGAAAAAGCCCGAGTAAAGATGTCGCCGCGCGACATAATTGATGCGGACATTGGATGCTACCGATCGCGCCGCGATGCTATTCACCCAGTGAGGCGACGAAGAAAAGAAAAGAAAGAAGGAACAGTTTCGAGACTCTCGAGGCTGTTCCCCCGCGGAATTCGCAAGCTCGTTTGCGTCTGCACCAGTGACGCTCGAATTAATCCTTTGACTCAGGGAATGCTTTCTTTCTCTCTCCCTCTGCGACATCTTATAAATGCTCGATAAAATTGAAAAATTTTTTTTTATAAAATAGAACCTCCGATGCGTGCTCGAGTTTTTTCTGTCATTGATTTCATCATCTTAAAATATCCGAAGTGTTGAAAAAGTACCGCGAGATTGCTTCGCCGGTTTAGTTTGAATATCCTCTCGACCGTCACGTTCACACGTGTCAAAGTTCACACGACGGAAGAAGGAGGAAAAGAAGAAGACAAACGCGCGGCACAGATATCACTTTCGTCAGACTGGCGGGCGAGTTATTCAATTATGACGTAATTCGCCTCTTCAACGAGGCAACCTCCGCGATTCGCGTAGGATACTTTCAACGAACAACGATCCCCGTCACGCGCGCGTACTCGTCGAATCTAACAATATCCGCGCGTACTCACGCACGGATATAACGGAACGTGCGTACACGCGTGTACATTCCGCGTACACGACTCGCTCACGCGTTCGCGCGCGCGCGACGCGCGCACGCACGCACGGCCTACACCGGCCAAGAACACCGGTACCAATTCATCCTCGCGCGCGTCCTCCATTATTCGTCCTAACCGGCGG